ATTATCGAATTTAAATCACACTCGTTTAAACGAATCAAGTATTATAATTAACGCATGCTTCAGCGGTACGAGTACAATGAATAATTCAAGCGCCCGCGCGGGCACGAGGCAGGCGGTAGTGCGCTGCTCCGATCCGCAAAGCGCAAATGAAATATCGTATATTCATTATTTTTGTCGTACTTACCTATATACGTGTGTTTCTCCCTTACTTCATACGTGCAGTGCGCACTTATAGAGCGGGAAGACAAAAAAGAGAGCGGGAAATGCCGCTTAGCTCGAGGGAACAGTAGCGAACGTATATGCGCGGGGGAACATCTGCCTAAAAATACCCACTTCTTTACGGTAGTATGGGTATAAGGTCACGCGAGTTTTTTGATCTTCATTGCAATCGAGTTCGAAGGAACAGGAACGGGCAAAAAAACCAGAAACGCGTCACGTACGCAATAGTGGGGCCAGCAGAAAGCGAATCTGATTTTTGCGCTCCACTCCCAGACTCGGTCCGACCACTCGTCTTCTTTATGTGCAAATATATATATATATATATACACACACACATAAGCTGCAAGTGGTGGGCAGAAGCCAATAGTCTTAAATAGAGCGAGAGGTACGGAACTTCTTTTCAGAGTCGCTGTCATTCGCATCTCGCGCATAGCCTAGACGCGCATCTATACTTTTTTTTTGTTACCAGTTGCCAGTGCGTTTAACGTGTAATAACCACACACGTGTGCAGTGCAGTTTTCTATTGCATTTATTTATCGAGAAAGTCTTTTGTGTTTGTGCGTCTGTGTGTCTTGCATCGTGTCAGAATGTCCACGGCGACGTCGAGCGGTAACGGTTTGAATACAGAAACCGCCACTTTGAATTACGTTTTCCAACATTCCACCAGAGTATTAGGGGTAATTGATTCTTTATTCACTGCTATAATCTCTTGTAAGACTTTAGCCTTCGGTAATATGTGCCATAATACATAAGGTGTGCATGTAGTAAAAATAAGCGGCATTCGACGCGCACCTTTATACACGTATACAGTCGCGTCCAGTCAGACAACTTCAGGTTGCTCGCGCGGGTCCTTGTACGCGCCGCTCGAATTTCGCCCATGGCAAAGTCAAGCAGCGTGAAGTTGGCACTGGCAAAAATTCGTTGCTATATGTGATACGGATACGTATAGGTATACTCGCGAATGAACTAGACGAACAGTTCACCACGTGTTTGTATTCATCTGTCAAGAGTCTAATTTATCTGACTGACGCGCGCGTCCGAGAGCTGCACTCGCATAGCTCCGTTTATTATTCTTTCTTTATTTTTTTATTCGACGATCAACGCGAAAATTTGATCTTGAAGTAAGAAGAAGAAAAACCTCTAGTGTAGGAACCGGTGTCGTTTAAATTCCTGAATTCCAACGTCATGACGCTAGACCTCGCGCTCTCTGTACCAAAGTCTGCCAAGCACAAGGTACGAAAAAGAGATTAATTATTCATCGGCTCGGTCGCGTGAGCTCATTGTGCAATCAAAAATTATACCGCGGAATCCCGTGCCAGAGCACGCGCGCGCCCACAAATTCACACACGCACGCAAGCATAGGTGTATAAAGAGAGAGAGAGAGAGAGAGAGAGAGCCTGCATATCGGAAGAGCGCGAAAAAGAGCAGCAGTCGGCCCGCTTTATTCGTTTCGCAGATGATCGCGCGCTCAATTATTGTGCAGTGACGCAAATCGGAGGCAAAAACGCGATCGCGAGCTGCGCCGCGAGGTCCTCGTCGCTCGCAAAGACAATCAAAAATGCAATCGGCCGCCGATAATCGTTAAAATATATTATCTTTGTGCCGTGCTGCGCGAGAGCTTTTATAATAATGCGCTATACACCGGTGGCGTATAATACAAAATTCTAACGAAGACGCAAAAGAGAGCACAATCAATTAATGCGAGCGATGCAGGTGCATAAATTAATAAGTCGATCCGTGTATCGGTCGTTTTTGTTATAATACACATGTAATTGTGAACGTACATCGGGTATAACTTTTTGTATGCGTCACGTTGTACAAACACGTACTTAACTTACATATATAATTGATTTAATACTTGTCGATTAATTAGTTAAAACGTAAATGTGTGTGGATTATTGCCGAGCGGATGATTCATGCAGCTCGGCAGCTAATTGGCAAACAAAAGCGATATAAGTTATTGGTTTTTTTTCGGGATGGAAGAGAAGAAAAAAAAATAGAAAAAAGAGAAAAACTCGTTGTTGTTGGGGGAAAAAAGAAGCAGACTCTCGTATAATCTCTAACTACACTCGGAAATGCTATTTTCGGGACGATCGTTGCCTTAACGACTAAAAATATCGCATATAATTATTTTGCTGATCGTTGTTTTTCACTAAGTAATGACCGGGGGAGCCGATTTATGTGGCTCGCGGCGCGAGTTTTCGAGAGGCTCTGATCTCGGCACAACTTCTTCAGATAATCTTTGAAATCTGGTTGGATCAATGCAGCCGTCACGAAGAGTCATTTATTTATTTGACGATTATTCCGGAGCAAGCCAAGACAGAACATTTCCGTATTCGGATGGCCGGGCAATGGAAACTTATATTTGTATATTTAAATATGCGTTATATAGCTTTAAGCTGTTTAATCAAAAGAAAATTATAAGCGTGCAATAGCTCTCGAGGCCCGTAAAAATAATAGACGCTCGCACAGTTTTACGAGGCACGATAAAAACTTCGTCGATTTGTTCCTCGTCGGTAATACGCCAATGTGCTTTTATAACGCGCAGTGCAGCTCTATACAGCGCGTAACGTGGAGCACCGCTGTTTGTTATCGAGTGTACTCTCAATTTTTTTTCGCTTTTCGCCGTCGCATATGTTATGCACTTTTCGAGTAAATACCCCGTTGCATACAACACGTAGGTATAACTTTGTGTTTGCATCACATTTATCGCATCGCATGACGAGCAGCCACATAATAGACGCGTATAATCGTAATTTTTGCGCAATTTCGCTGGGGAAAGGTTACCGCGCGTTTACGGGGGTACGGGGAAAAGCAAAAAGCCGATGCGGTTCATCGTTCGTCCATATCGGCAAGTCTGAAAAGCAGATCGGTATGCGTAACGCCCTTGTCCAATGCTTCCCATCGTATAGCTACAATCAATTGCATCAAATTGAAGCAATAAAATTGCGCAGCTTCTGTCGTCCGTCGTGTACGCGTCGCGTCGTCTAATATAAGAAACATATCGATTACATCTCGCCGTGACTGCGCGCGGCAAAAATTCAATATTGATCCGGTTCCATCGAGATAATACCGTCGCGAAGACTTTGCGAAACGCCGTGTAGCATTCGGTCGGACGAACACAAGCCGGGTTATAAAAAAAATCAAAATTAAAAAAAAAATAATAAAAACGAAAAACAACAAATTAGCCGCTGTTACATGAACTGGCGTATATAGCGTACAGCGAGCTCGATCTCATAATTAATTTCCGGTCGCTATGGGCGCGCAACGGCGGCAGCGAAATAATACGACGAGTCCTCATTATGCATATGCGTCGCGCTGTTATATACATTCTTACCGTTGATCTCTCTAACATATAACACAATGAGGCCTATCTCCATCCTAGTTACATCATGCGCAGGATAGTCGGAGTCTCTCTCTGCGTGAGCTCCGGAAAAACACGTGGTTTTGTTGTCACTCGGTCGATGCCCCATACATAAAACGTGCCACACTCGTCACGTGTTCTCCATGGAGCTCGATGAGATGTTGGTATGCTCGTCAGGACACGTATAATACCTATACACTCGTTGCACGAGATGAGCGCGTGTTTCATTTACGCAATATTTAATAGAAAAAACGTAAGATAGGACTCGAGGGATCCAATATGAAGTGGATGCACGAAAATAGAAAAGAAAAAAAAACCTGAACAGCCAGCAGATGGTCGTGTCCGCTATTGCGTCAGACCAATAGTGATAGATGGGACGCTCGCAAAGAGAAACGCGATACTCTCTTACCTCGGCTCGCGCAAGGTGAGCGCGATGTACTTATTCGAGGAGCATTATATTATGTTCGCGATTTGCGTATCGCGTTTCTAACTTGTAAGCTCGATTATCAAAGCCTAGAAGTCCTCTTGTATTATTAATTTTTTTTTCGATTGTACACAATTAATGTTCTTGATGTACTTACAATGACACTGAATACAACTATTACACCTGCAAATACAATTCAAGCATACGTATGATACATGGATCCCTATTGATCTATATCTATAAATTATATACATTTTTTAATTACTGTTTACTACTAAGATAATTAAGTATCCTTTGGTTGTGCCTTTTTAACTATCATACAGTGTAATAGATGATTATTTAGAGTTAGACATATACATTTAGTGTATATTAGCCACTTAGTAATCTTCACCTTTTTTACCTCTACAATCATACCATGCAATGTAATCTGTTGCTAACAAAAAAATTTTCAATACTTCCACGTGAGCATTATAATTCAGAAACGACGCACGAACGGTGCGCCCGCACAAACGCTTGTGTATACAAAACAATGGCAATTTGTTATTGTCAAGCGTGTGCGTGTGTGCTGTATCGCGCTGACGTGCGCGCGTGTGTGTGTGTGTGTGTGTTTGTAAGCACGGACGAGCGAGCGAATGTGTGTGTAGGAGGTCCAAACTTTTTGTATACCCAGAATAAATACAAACGTCCTCGATTAGCCCATTATGCAACGAGTCCATATACCCGAGCAAATGTGTGTGTTTGCATCGCGATCTGCATCGCATGAATCAAAAAAGTAAAGACATGATGGTTTAAATACCTATATATAATATACTATACTGCTGCACTTGTTGCCATAATATCTCACAGGCACACCAGAGCTAACGTGTTTGATGTTAGAACATTCGTTTTTTATATAGATCTTAGCGACACCTTAATTAGTAAGGGATTATTGCGAATCGTGATGAGGATTCAAAGACGAGTTTAATTAACGCCATTTCGTTGTCATTTTTCCAGGTACTGTCTATGAGTGAGGAACTCAGAAGAGCACTTTACGCAAACAGTGCCATCTCGCTGGACGCGGAGCTCGCGGTTCCAGATCTCGTCGGCACGACCGAAATTCTCAGCGATGAGCACAGAGAACAGCTTTGCCGGCATCTGCCCGCGCGAGCGGAGGGCTACCTCTGGACCCTCGTCTTCAGCACCAGTCAGCACGGCTTCAGTCTCAACAGTATGTACAGAAAAATGCAGAAGATCGAGAGCCCCATACTCTTGGTCATCGAGGACACACAAGGAAACGTGAGTTGAACATTGAGTCACGCATGTTGTATATGAAACAAAAAAGAACTCGAGCGAACTTTAAACTCAATCGATCGTTAAATTTGTTTATAGGTATTCGGAGCGTTGACCTCGTGCTCGCTGCGAGTGAGCGACCATTTCTACGGTACCGGCGAGTCACTCTTGTTCAGGTTCAGTCCGAGGTTCCAAGTCTTCAACTGGACCGGCGACAACGTATACTTCATCAAAGGCAACAACGAGAGCTTAGCCATCGGCTCTGGAGAGTAAGTTAAAAGTTCACTTTATTTCACACGAGACAATGCTATACCGATACGGTCTCTGGCCTTAATCCACGCGTCGCGCTCTTGCATAAAACCATATAAAAGAGTCTTGATTATCGATTTCGCATAATATGACAAAGTATTTTGCAAAGCGGTCGATTCAAACTGACACCTTTCTAACAATGTCCTCTTTTTCTTTGCATTGCAGCGGTAAATTTGGCCTGTGGCTCGACGGCGATCTGTACCAGGGTAGGACACAATCGTGCAGCACATACGGCAACGAGCCCTTGGCGCCGAGCGAAGATTTCGTCGTCAAAACGCTAGAGTGTTGGGCGTTCATATAGGATACACTACCATTCCAGCAGTTGTCGCAAAGCGAAGCGACGACTGCTGGCTTTAGTTCATCTGCTACGGTCGAAGCTAAACCGGCTTGAAGAATCAACTGATCAAACTGATTTTCTTCTCGCTAATAACACAAAATTTACGTGTAGATATATATGGATAAATGCATTATATCTCTCGATGTGTCATACTAAAGAGTATAAACTACAAAAAATTACACGGATTAAATATACATACTTACAGACACGTTGCATGTATATGTATGATATATATCTATTACGAGGCGAAATTTTGACTTCTGAGATGCAGCGAAGAAGATGTCAGGAAACAAGAGAAAACCCACCTACTTGATGATTAGCAAAATCGATGATACGGCTACGAGACGCTCTAGATAGTGACGATATTGAAATAAATCAGCGTGCTCATGGTGCACTGTGTAAAATGAAAAAAAACATAAGAATATTATTATATAATATAAAATACACTCCGTAAATTGCCAATTGCCTCGTCGAGTTTGAGAAGGCATCGTCGACACAGTTGTTTGGCATGTCGACCACCGTTAAAAAAAGACTCGGACTCGCGTACAAACAAATTAAATAGAGATTTTCATATACTTCATTGAATATCGTCGTTGACGATATCTCTAATACGTACCCGTATTCTTCCTTCACATTTTTTCGCATTGGTAGGACCGATGTTTTTTATTTTGCAAATCGTTTGCTTTTTGTTTTTATTTTTTGTAATTTAGACTATATTAATTTTATCATTCTTACAACTACAATTTATGTTACATTTTATATATAATACTTTTGTGTATTACCGCGTTAATTTACGAGAACTATCAAAGTTATTGTAAACGATATATAGTGGAGCCGCGAATGTGCCCTTTTGTGTATAAAGTCACGTATATCAGGACATGTATGTGTGTCGGTGTGTAACCGCTGTTGATTGATGGTAATTCTCGTTGCAAAAAGTTATATTTTAATTGTGAAAAAGAAAAAAAAATAGATGAAAACGAGAGTACCACGAGAAAACAATTAATACACGCTTACGCTTGTGCATTGTTGCTATAATAAGGTAGTTTGGCGATCTTGAAACGACGATTGTTTTATACCTAATGATGAAATTGCAATGCGATGTATATCAAGTTTATATAAATGCGAATATCGAGTGCGAGGAAGAAAGGATTGCGAATACAAATTGTACTGTTTACGATATTCGTGTTGGTGATGATGTTTGTTATTATATTATATCGAGAGTGAGAAGAAAACCTTGTTGTTTTAATGTTCATGCCATTTGCCATGTAAAGACTCAAATGTGAACATTGCGTGTGATTAAAATAACTACTATAAGATAGAGATGAAAAATTCATATTTTTTGAACGACGACGTAATGGGTATTGTGAGAAGAGAACTGAAAACGGTGTAGAAATGAAAAAAAGCGTATTAATGAAGAATATATAACGTTTAACGTTTGATATAATATTGGCTTTGTTTCAATGTGGCTTATTACAACAAAATAATGAAACGGAAATCAAGCAAATGCAAAGAATTATACAAACTATTTAAAACAAAAACGCTAAACTAACCGTTTGTTAATGTGTAGATATGTAGATAGTAAATGTAAATATATACATATATTATAATGGTTTAAACCGTGTTAAAAATGCATACAAGAAAAAGTGGTCATAATTTCGAGTACTGCTTAGAAAATTATACTGAAAAATATATATATGAACAAAAAGAGGATTATTACTCACGTCTAAACATGCATATATATATATTCTAAGCCTACATAGGAAAAGAAAGAAGACACAAGACACAGAAATACACTCATCATGTTAACACGTTACGCATTATTGTTTATTTGATTAATTACTCTTATGAAGTAATTTGCAAAAATTCATAAATGCGTTAAAACGCATTCGGAGGCTGTATATCAAGGAGGATTCACGCGTTTGACCAGTGTTTAGGATCTGAAAAAGAAAACCAAATTATCTTATTTATTATTATTATATTTATTATTATTAGCATTATTATTAGAATTATTATTACTATTATCATCATTATTATCCTTAGTATGTTAATCTCAAATGAGACGTTTATTATTAATGAGAATATTAAAACAAAAATAAAGAGATTTTATCGATTAAGGATTCTAAATGAGAAATTGGTCGTTACTATTTATTCACTCAACTTTTTTAACTAAATAAATATAAAACTAACAAATGATGGTTCACTTGAATTCGAGTTATAAAGATGCCAACTATTTAAAAAAAATGCATTAAAATAGTTGATAATCTGTTAATTAATATTACGTTTCATCGCATGCGATGTAAGCTAATACGTATATACTGCGAAAATATATACACGTATACATTTATAATCAATACTGTCGTCACGCTGGACATCCAAGGAAAATTTTCATGACCCGTTACATTAAAAATTTCGTGTTTAGAGACACTCAAATTGACAAAAGGGGTCCACTTCACACACAGACAATTTTATTGTTATACGTCTGAGTTATCGGTAAATCACTTGGAATCAAATTTTCCGCGATGAAAAAAAAACAAACTAATGACTAAGCCAATTGTCATGCTCACTTTAACAAAAAAAAGTCAAAATAAATCATCACCATTGCTCGTATTTATGGGAAAATTTTTTGAGTATAAAAAGCCTAATGAGTAAAGTTGATATAATAATATATATACATTTAAATGTAAGAGCAGCTCTGTCAAATATTTTTTCCTTTTTTTAAGAAAAAAAAGTTAACTAAAGAAACGGATAAAAAAGCATATATGTACGAAGCAGTATATGTGATTCACAGAAAATCCCACGATCGCAATCATTGCGACTGCAACTAATATCATTAAACATATCGTGAGCTATGAACTAATAATGAGAATAATTCCTTCATTTTTCTACGTGACAGCTCTCGAGACAATTAAAATGATACATGCATTTTGCTAAACAAAACGTGGAGAGAGTGTCGGGCGAAATTCATTATAATTACGATGTAGTAAAATTTAGAAAAAAAGACGTTTGGTTATTATGCTTGTTAATAATAATGATAAATCGTCTTTTTAGTAAAGCAGCGAAGAGAGGTATCGTAGTGATTAATAAATAAAAGTTAACTGTAAGAGTTGATAAACACGATTAGTACATTTTAAAAAGTAGATGGAAAAATTCATAAATAATAAACATAAAATAAAGTAGACGTGCTCTTGTGATACCGTATATAATAATAAATATGTATTAATAATACAAAAATAACAAACGTGAAACTGTTCCCTGATAATGCTTTTAATAAATGAGCGCAGCTTCTTTTTTAACATAGTGAAAAATCATTGAACTATCAATCATTTAAGATTATTATATTAACTGCTTTGTTTATGTGCAATTTGTGCAATATTATTGTACGAAAAAACTGTCGTAATATTTTCCATGGAATATTGAAAAACATAGAAGTGAGTTTTTTAGCAGTATAAATCGTAGTTCGCACACACTCGAATCCACGCAAATGCAGTATTTGTACGTTAATTTGCAAAACAATGAAGAACATGGTTACAAATAAAACAATTTGTTATTGATGAAAAAAAAAAAAAAAAAAAAAAAAAAAATTAAAAAAAGAAAGAAAAAAAAAGAAATTATATATATCGTGTTTACTGCCTCTAAAGCACTCGTAGTCTAAATAGGTGATGAACAAAGTAGCCGAGAATGAATCATTGTGAAACGACTATAACAAAAGAAAAAGCAACAACAAATTTCTCAATTTGAAAAAAGCACACATACAACTACACGCGTACACTCACATAAGAATAAGCAAGGGCACACGAGTTACTTAATATAAACAAATTAAAATACTTGTATATCTACTAATCGTCAATAATCAATGGTTAATGGGGAATGAAAATGATACTTTTACGTTAGGAGGAAACTAACGTCTTATCGAAACTAACCAGTCTACAAAACACAACTGAAAATCACTTTTCAACAGATCGTACAATCGTATTTCTAAGTACGCGGAAAAACAAGGTAAACGATACCAGACGAAGTTTCAATCCACGGGTAAAAATGATTGTTTTCTTTTTAAATTGGTGAAACAATACCATTTTTAACTGCGATTATTTAATATGTAATGAAAGGTAACTCAAACTGTTCGTTGTGTGTCGAAATTCCTGTTTGGCCAATTAATCACGAGGTTGTTGCACGTATGAATGAATAAAAATCCTCGACCCCCTTAGTCTCATAACAGATGTACCTTGTGTATAAGTAAGCAAAAAAAAACTTTTGTTAAAGGTTCGTGGCGAAAAACTTTTCTTAACAAAAAAAATAACAAAAAACCAGGATGCTTCAGAAATTGACGATACTTGTTCATTTTGAGTGGAATTTGAACTAGGAAAAATGTGCGGCGTCTTGAGACAGACATGCCGTAGATCAAATGTCGTATTTTTCCCTTGAAAAACATTCTTTAAACGTCCGGTTTAATGATAAGATGAAACAACAGTTTTTCACTTAGCTGACTGATTTTTTAAAGATGTCGGTTAATTTTCACGTATCGACGAAGACAATTAACTTAAAAAAACATTGATTCACCCTGACACGTCGCATGTGCGAATCAGTGACATTTATTTAACGATTTATAATTCAATTGAACTTTTTTTTAAAAGCAGACAATTTTTCACCGCTGAGTAACTTGTCAATTCTTCAATTGTGTTGAGAGTGATGAAAAAAAAAGATAAAAAAAAAAAAATAAATAAATACATGTTGTAATAAGGAAAAGATTCGCGAGCTTTAGAGCCAATTGTGATCTTTCTTATAATATACATACTTTAATAACGTATAGTTTGTATTTTGAAAAATAAAAGAAATTAGATACATACACACGAGCGTACACGGTTGTAATGAAAAACGATGGAAAAAAGGAGAAGATGAATAGGTGAACAATTTTTTTCAAGCCAAATAATACTTAAGATGAGATCGATTTACTACACACTCGCGTGAAAAAAAAAACATTTATATTATACATGAATAATATGTGGAGAACCTCTCGTACATTGTCAATTAGATTCAGACTGACTGCATGGGATTGACACACGCGCATTAAATGATGAGAACTTAAAAAAACGAAGAAACACTCTCGATGTTGTTCGATGTTTCTATAAAACCAAAAAAACGACAACAACTTCTGTACTTAGTATTCTTTGAAAAAATGAAGCAAAAAAAAAAAAAATTAAACAACCATATGTATAGTCGTGTATTGTCATCGTCGTTTAAAAATCATGAGATACCTATGTAGCTTAAACTAAACAGAGTGAAGAAACCTAAGCTATTATGAGCAAATCCTATTTAAAAATGGTGGACGATAGTCTTTAAAATAAAAAAAGCAGAGCGAAACGTTCATTCTTTAAGAATCTAGGTTTACATTGATAACAAAACTACAAACAATCATAGGTGAAGAAAAGCTGAACCATTGATAATGTTGCTTGAAAATCCTTGGTCTATAATTTTCAACTGAGAAAACATCTACAAGAATAACGATGAGCCCGAAGAATGTTTGTAGCTAGAATTATTATAAAGCAAAGTAGTTCCTCTCTGAAAGCCATGCCGTGCGTAAGAGAAAGCCAATCCAAAACGAGCATTAATTAATCGGTAGAATAAAATTAGAGATATAGGTCCTTTTTTTGAAGCGTTCATTACAAAACTCAAAGTGTCGACAGTGTACTAGATGATTAATCACTTTAAATGTAAATGTCTTCGGTACCTGACAAAACAAAGCCCTCCCCCTATCTTCCCCCGTGTTTCTAACTGAGCTCCCTGATCGAGTGCTAATTCGCCAATTGACAAGAGCTTCGTGGCTAATTTTCCTATAATTTCCATATGCAGCATTATATCTGATACCCGACATGACATAACTCTTTCTACTGTTCAGCGCGTAAATGACATTCCTAAAGTTCGAAAATTGCAACATATCACTTATTGGGCAATAAGAAAAATTAATAATAAAAATGATAATTTCGTATACAGCACAATTTACAGCATCGTAGTTCTCGTCAATTGGATGATTCGATCTGTAAAAATTTAATCGAGGCAGCCGCTATGACAAACTCAAAATATTAACAAAAAAAAAGATTAAAAGTTGATGCTTCTCCCCCTCCTCCGGACCCCGTCTCTCTTTTTGATTAAGCTGTAAGCTGGAGAAAAAACTTTCAATTCTCTGGACCAAATGGATGACAAAAAAATTTTACACTTCTATAATAAAAGAAAAACCGAAGGAAATAAAATATTATATTATGTAATAAAAAAAGCTTCAAGTTGTGAATTCCTACATAATTACACGTGGACACATATAACAATGAGACAAACAGAATCGACGAACGAATGTTGTCATTTATGTGGCCATCCTAAGACGCTGTCTTCTATATAATGTACGTGTACAAAAACTACAAAAAAAAACAATCAAAATACTACGTTGCTTGGTAGATTAAAAAAAAAAGTACGCCATAATCCGTGTAATTTAAACTGTTGTATGTAGCAAGTACATCACACCGATATATAATATCCAATGATGATTATTAATACAAATTTAAGAGAAAAAATGGAACGTTTTATTTTTAACGAAGAGCTGACGATATGACTTGGCATGAAAACAATGATGATGTTAACGGAAGATCATGCTATTGACCCTTTGAGTGTGCATCGATCCTCGAAAAAGCTTAGCGCATTTTTGTAAAAATAGCTACTTTCTCGAGGTTGAGCAAGAAAAAAAAATAATAATAAGGAGCTACCACACCCCACTACTTCCGAATAACACCAGCCACCATCACAATTATTATAAAACAACAAGAAAAAATACAACACTTAATAATTCGCGGTATTGAGAGTTATTGTTATATCTCTCGACAATAAACATCAGGAACAGCAACAACAATAATAACAACAACAGCAACAACAACAACAACAACAATAACAACAAAATCGACATCCGATGACAGACGATTTATAATAATTATAATATTTATTAAGATTTCATGATTTTTTGAGACACAACGCGAACACCCACACAAATACACGAGCATGGCACAATTGACGACTCATACTTTATTATACACTTCATCGCCCATTGTACACGATGATAAAGTGAACATGTAAATATTATATTGAATCGATTGAATCGACTTTCTGAAGAAAATAACATGACGTGACGGAGAGAATAATTAAAATTACGGTGACAAAGGACCCAAAAAATGCAAAAGCAAAAAACTGTACAGATATGTAAAGAAAAGTTATATATTGTGTATAGCTAAGAAAATATATCGCATAGAGTATACTGCTGTATAAATCGACGAGAAAGGAGGCGCGCGAAAAGATATTACATTAATGCTATAGAGAAGAGAATTAATAGAATAAAAATCGAAATATAAATATTTTTGCTCTTTCGGAAAATCGATTTAAATAAATGAATAGATAAATTATAAAATGAATAATGCCTAAAAAAATTGATGACAAAAAATTGCCTATATAATTATTATATTGTGCATCACGTCGCTCGCATCTATATATATATAAATATTGTGTACTTTTTACATTCCACGATAACGAAATAAAAAGAAGAATTACCGACATTCATACAGACGCACATTTACACAGAGACAAACACGTAAGGAGACAAATTTGATGGAAATACGAACGTTAAAAATGGAGGACTGCGCATAGCAATTTTTATCGAAAAAAGGCTTGGATCCGCAAAATGCCGCACGCGCGCGAGCGTGATTTATCTCAAATTTTCCTTATTGTGTATGGATGTTTCAACGTGAACATACATGTTACATTGAAAATCGTATAATAGATGTACAAGAATTTTTATGTGATTTGAAAAATGTTCAGTGTGCGTTTGTCAGCAGTTCCAAAATGTGTTTATCCCTCAAAAGGGATGACTATTGTAGCAGCGTAATTGTTAGAGGTAAATCACGAAAAAAACACGTTCGGTTGTTAATTTTTAATAATTAAGTTTTATTACTCGTGCGTTAAGTATTATAAAAATAATAATAATCGAGAGGCCTCGAGTGGCTTCGCGTCGATGTTAAATTTAAATTTGTATACCTTAAAAATGCCACGGGTTTGTTTAGAACCACGCAGAAAAGGTTTTTCGGATCTCACCCGATCGCAGGTGATCATATTGACAGTCAATATATTAAAAAAAAACGATATTATTATGCTCCAAAATGTAAAAGTCACATATAAACATTCGAGAATCTTATGTGCGGTTAAAGTGATGATTAGCCGAATTCAACGCATAATAATATATCCAGACACACAAACACGTACACACTCTATATGCACACACAGTCAACATAACAATCAACGCAACATAACAATATCTATAACGTTATAATACATACACTGACCAAATGATGCTGCGCACGATGATGCTGGTGTACTTGTACGGTGCAGATTTAAGCTCGATTGTAGCGCGAGGGATTTTAAAAACAAAACAAAAAAATACACAAAATTAAATTTTAATTACATTGTAAGCTGTGCACGCCGACTAAGACGCTGTGTACTGCTATGATACATTCGCGTGATATTTGTGTGTGCGTGTACACAAGCTCGCGAGCGCGCATTAAATTATATAAACGAAGACAAAAAAAAATTGTTTGAAGACACTATAATGTTGTACAAATTAAGCAAACAAAAAGAAAAAGACAAAAAAAAATACCAGAGAAGTTCTAAATTAGTGTATTATGTATTACGTATACACGAGTGAGAAAATGTATAACCGACAAAGAAAGAACGACGGATGAATAATTTACTATTTAACGCGGTTGTGTGGAATTTAAGCGCCGTGCTAACTATGATGCATGTACAGGATATATAGAGCGTGGGATACTTATTAAAGTCGGACGAGGTGCCATAATAATTATTACAAAAAAAAAATGCAATTTTAAAACAACAAATCTTTAGCGATGGTTGTAGATTTTAACAAACGATGGTGTGAAGAAACAAAACAAATTAACAATAACAAATATTGCAAAAAAAAACAAACAAAAAAAAAACAAATGAAAAATGACGTGCGCGCGAGAAGCTGATATATGATACATTTAAGAGAAATCCTAATGAAGATTAAAAAAAAAATGAAGAAGAAATGAATATATAAATATTATATTATATACATAAAATTATATTTCACCCAGTCGGTTATATATTATTCTAAGAAATTTGAATATTATATTATGGATAAATATATATCGACTGGCACGACAAAAACAGAAAAACAAAAAATGCTGTGCGTTCTATACATAATGTATAATGTATGATACATAAAAAATGAGAAAAATATATCTAATACATGAACATGTATGAAAATTTAATTTTTCCACCGTGTCACGCTCATTTATAACCCCTTGGCATATCCAATTCCGCACGATTCCCTCGTATAACTACCGATTTCCTTTTTTGGGGAAAAAAGTACGATATTATTATGAAAAAGTAAACGCGCCGCCGTGACTCGGTCGTAATCGCCACAGCTCCGCTCGCATAACGTTCATTCAACCGTTATAATCGACCCAAGAAACGTTAATACGGAGATCCGCGAAAGCAGTAGTGTACGCAAATACATAATATCGAAGCGATCTTTATCTCGCACATATATGCGGAGCCGCGAATAAAAAGCTCATCTTTTGCCACGTCACGCCGCGAACATTATATACCTATCCTACTACAGGCCACGAGCATCTCGCGTATGAGCCGCGCATTCAATGCATGCACATTCACCTGTTACGAGCCGGCCACACCGTATACCTATATAGACCTACTGCAAATATTAAAGTCATCTTATGCAGTGGCCGCGCGGCGCAGCAGCAGCAGCAGCAGCAGCAGCAGCAGTCATAGCCTAACGACAGTGTGAGCGCGTCTCTTGCACCGTATACACTCGCACGCGGTCGCCACGATAACGATATATAAGTTTTATGTGAAAAAAATTAATCATAATAATAATCGCACGAGTGCGAGCCCGAGCCGACGACGTCATCCCGAACGATCTTTCGCTCGAAAAGACCGAATTAATTGAAAAAGGAAAGAGATAAGTCCATTGCGTTACAGGTGAAACATATTTCATTTCGCAATGTTCGATCAATCCACACCAGCGGCTCGATTGTTCGTATACGTGCCAGTCAAGTCAGCGACGTCAGCCGCACGATGATGAAGAGAAACCTCATCAGCTGGTTCAAGTTCGCTGTGCTAGCTGTGTTTACGGTTTTTCTCACCACCCTCATCTTTCGACTGATTCGTCCACCCCGCAGTGTCGCGAGATTGCCGACAAATCCCAAGGCCTTGCCATTGAAAGACGCACAGAATCCGAAATGGAGAGCTCGCTTGGTTCAGCATCCAGCTGGCCTCGTAAGTCGTCCTCTTTTTATCAGACGTTTCATGAGGTGGAATTTTTAAGTGATCTTTTTTATTTATTAGGACGTCGACGCAGAGGGAAAAATAGATTGGCATGATTATAAGGGAATTCAAGAGGATGACAAGCGCACTGGAGTTGGAGAGCATGGTAAACCTGCATCGTTGTCACCACTCATGAATGAAATTGAAGAAGCACTGTACAAGGTAAATGGTTTTAATGGAGCATTGAGTGACCAGATTTCCTTGAATAGATCTATACCAGACATAAGACATCCAGAATGCAAAAACAAACGATACTTGAAAGATTTGGATTCTGTCTCAGTGGTCGTCTCTTTTCACAATGAGCATTTTAGTACTTTGATGAGGACCTGCTGGAGTGTAATCAATCGCTCGCCTCCATCTTTGCTCCATGAGATTATTTTAGTAGATGATGCGAGTACAAAGGTTGAGTTAAAAGATAAACTTGACAAGTATGTAAAAGAAAACTTACCTAAAGTAAAAATAATAAGACTGCCTAAGAGATCTGGACTTATAAGAGGAAGATTAGCTGGAGCTCAAAGAGCTACTGCAAAAGTTCTTGTATTTCTTGATTCCCATACTGAAGCTAATGTTAATTGGTTACCACCTCTCTTGGAACCAATAGCTAGAGATTATAAGACTTGTGTGTGTCCTTTCATAGATGTTATTGCTTACGATACATTTGAGTACAGATCTCAAGATGAAGGTGCAAGAGGAGCATTTGACTGGGAATTGTACTATAAAAGACTACCTTTATTGCCAGAAGATTTGGAAAAACCATCAGAACCTTTCAAGAGTCCTATTATGGCTGGAGGTTTGTTTGCAATAAGTGCTAAATTCTTCTGGGAACTTGGAGGATACGATCCAGGCTTAGACATCTGGGGTGGTGAACAGTATGAATTATCATTTAAAATATGGCAATGTGGTGGTGAAATGTATGATGCTCCATGCTCTAGGGTTGGACATATTTACAGAAAGTTTCCTCCATTTCCGAACCCTGGTCGTGGAGACTTTTTGGGTAAAAATTATAAAAGAGTGGCCGAAGTGTGGATGGATGAGTATGCTGAATTCATTTATAGAAGGAAACCTCATTTAAGAGTCATGGATCCAGGAGATTTATCGCAACAAAAAGCATTAAGAAAAAAATTACAATGCAAACCTTTCAAATGGTTCATGGAGAATATTGCTTTTGATCTTGTTGAAGTTTATCCTCCTATTGAGCCTGATGATTTTGCTTATGGTGAAATAAGAAATGTTGGAAGTCCTGATGTTTGCTTGGATGCAACTCATAGAAATAAAAATGATGATCAGGTATTTGTAAATACTTGTGTGAAAGATAATCCAAAAATTATTGGTCAACAAGAATTTCAAATGACTTGGCATAAAGATCTACGCCCAAGTAAACAAACAGAATGCTTAGATGTCTCAAGTGGAGGCAATAAAGCTCCCATAACTTTATATCCATGTCATGGAAAAGAAGGAAATCAGCTTTGGCGTTATGATGTTGAAAAACAATGGTTAATTCATGGCAGTAACAGATGCTTGGACATGGATGAATCAGTTATGAAGGCTTTTGTTTCTAAATGTGATACTACATCTCTAACTCAAAAATGGATCATAGAACATGTCAATATGAAAGCAATTAGAAATTGGGATAATATTGGTACAAAAGCTAGAAGACCTGGTCTTTAAAGCAACCTTTTATTTTGCCATTAAAATTACTAGTCATTGTGTTGACTTTTTAAAAAATGGACTTTTCATTGCAATGAAAGAAACATTATAAAACAAGAGACTTAAAAAGAATGTGTATTGTGCCTTAAAAAAATTTTTTTGTTGAATTATAATTCAGGGTGTTTGCATGAAAACTTAAGTTGACAACTTTTTTAAAGATTATTTCATGAAAAATGTTCATTTTGTTTTGAGCACAGCCATTGTGATAAAATGATTTATTTTCATTGTGATTATATTTAAATGCAATAAACCATTCCATGCGTTCAAAAGTGGTTTTAAAATAAGGTTGCAACTTTTCTACAATATGTTAAATTGTAATGTTAAGGAAAATTCTACACTGTGGTAGCTTAAAAATTTGTGTTATTTGTTAAATATTTTAATTTTTTTAAATTAAAGGCTGCCTGTGGTTGAGGCTCTTGATTTATTTATTGCTTATTTAATGTCTATTGAAATGTCTTCTATTTTTTTATTTTTATACTAATTAATTGTAAATAGAGAATCAAAATTATCATTATATTTCAATATCCATATCACTTTAGCATTAAGTGCTTTATAGGCATATGGAGTGATTGATGTACATAATAAATCATAGGAATTGAGCTCAAAGTATGAAAAATTAAATCGTAAATCAATGCAGAGATTAAATACAGTTGTAAAGCTCCATTATATATATTATTCGTTTGCATAATGTACACAAAAACAATTTTCACAGCATTAAACATCAGCTGTCATAGTTTTATAAAGAAAATGGGTAGCTCTTGCAATATTTAAATTTATGCCCGAATGGATTACTGAATAAAATAATGTAATTATCCAAGAGTACTTGCGTTTTTTTTTTAATTTCGTCACAATAAAGTAACATAAGCATTTTGTAAAAGCTTATGCATAAAAATTAGTAATACAAATAATTAAGAGTCATACATATCATACGTATAAATAATTGTACAGGTAAAAACAACGTTGAGTATAATACGGAGTCTGTGCCAAGGATGAAAAATTGTGTATATTATAAGCAAACAAATGACTGATATTTTTTGATGATAAAAGCCACAATTTTACCAACTTGCAATAAAAATTAACGCAGCTCAAATATAATTCAGAATTTTTATTTCTCTCCTCAATCAAAGTCTGCTGTACTGAGATTCATGAACCACCATGTCCCTCGTAACATCTTTAATGCTCGAACAACCTTCAAATATAGAAAACAAAACGAAATTTTATTAACTAACTTTTATTAATTAATTTTTTTTATTTGGATAAATCTTAAATTCTTACCCGATAACGCGAAAGCGACATCAATTTCTCGCCTCATCATTTCCAGTACCTTTCGAGCACCCTTTTCGCCATCGTGAACCAGACCCCAGAGCATGGGTCGTCCAAAGAAAACCTACTCGAAAGAATAAAATTATAAATTTGTCGAAATGTTTTATAATTTTATGCATTAAATTCATAATGGGGTATACCATTCTTGCACCGAGCGCCAAAGCTTTCAGCACGTCGGTTCCTTGACTCACTCCACCGTCCAGGTAGACTTCAACCTTGTCGCCCACTGCTCTAACTATTTCCGGTAAGGCTTCTATCTGGTTTTACAAAACGATTATAATGTTTGATTTGAGAAAATGAAAAATGTCTGTATTAAAAATATGTTACCGATGCAGGAACACTATCGATCTGACGAGCTCCGTGATTTGATACCAAAATCGCACTGGCGCCATGTTCGACGGCCAGAAGGGCGTCTTCCGCAGTCAGAATTCCCTTCAGGACTATCGGCAATTTAGTGATGCTGCGAATGAAAAAGTGTCAAGCTCGACCGATCGATTTTCAATGTGAAACCGGTAACAATAGTCGTACCTTTTCAACCAGGCCACGTCTTTCCAGGAGAGCGAGTCGTCGAAGAGATTCGCCACGTACTCGCTCAAGCCCGAGCCATCACTGGCCGAATTGATCTTTTGCGACAGCAAACCCTCGAAATTCGCCAATCTGAATCGTCCCGTCCGCAGGCAACGAATCAATAAAAATCGAGCCGATCGGGTCGAGAGTTCGTATGTATCATGCAAGGTAATTCGAATTACAATGTCGATCGCTCACCTCAAGTGTTTCGGAAGGGCAAATTTGTTTCTAATGTCTCGGCGACGATCGCCGAACATGGGCGTGTCGACGGTCAGCACGAGGGCCTTGAAGCCGGCTCGCTCGGCTCTGCGCACGAGGTCGCGGGTAACGTTGCGATCGAAGTAGACGTAAAGTTGAAACCACTTGATGGCCTCGGGCGAGGCTTCTGCGACCTCCTCGAGGCTCGACGTCGACAACGTGGACAGAGTGAAGATGGTCTTGGCTCCTCCAGCGGCTGTTTGGATACTCTCTCATTAGATATGAATAATTATCGAATTTGTGATTAGTGATCGACTTTTACCTTTGACGTTGGCGCACTCGCCGTCTGGGTGAGCCATCCTCTGCATGGCCGTCGGTGACACCCCCAACGGCATGGAGATCCTCTCACCGAGAATCGTCGTGCTGATGTCTCGCTTCGAGACATTGGTCAATACTTTGGGCCTTATACGAAGTCTAATATTCGACAGCGCAATTTTCGTTACAGCTCGATATCCCCGAGTCAATGCCGGAGTTGAGTGATCGTAATAGCAAATTTTGTGCACTTACTTTCTGAACGCCTCCTTGTTCAATCTTAGGGTCAATTCCTCGCCGGCGCCGCTGCGGTAATAATCCTTTATCATGGGCGGCAGATTAGCCAAAGCGTGACGCTCGTAGTCGTCGATGCATACGAACTGCGACATTTTTCTTCTCTGTTATTAACTTTTTTGTAAACAAGCTCTCTCGGCTAGATATATCGCGGATAAATCGATTTTTTTTGTCTTACGCAACTTTTACCGTGTATCGCGCAAAAATTAATCGCGCGCCCATACGACTCGGAACGGATTGAAAGAATTTCCTGAAATTTCGACTAATTATAAGGCTTAGACAAAAATGATCGTAACTCAATTATCGGATGATAAGATTATGCAATTGAAATATTGCTCTTCTTGCGTCACGCGATAATAATCAAAATTTTCTTTTATTCAAATAATACAATCGTTAGAACAAATCTACTGATTTCCAGTTACGTTAAGAACGGTCAGATGCACCTCACGCACTGAGCTCGGACTTCCGTCCAAAAAATCGGCAATTGGCTGCCTTCTTCTCTCTCTTCTCGGTCGAGGAAAAAAATCCACTTGACACAAGCTTCCTCGAGGGAAATGCGACAACAAAACTATCGCTTGTGCCTTTGGAGCTTTCAGCTCACATTCAATGCCAATGTAATACTGATAAAGTCGAGTACGTTCGCGAATCGCGATCGTGTGCATCATCGTCCGTATTATACGTAATACATGCCCCGTTGCATGATCGATCTATCAACATCGCCCGAGCCAGACAAAGAAAATCTCTGTAAAGATGCGCGATAAGCTCCTGTGATTTTTTGTAATATCAATCAATGCGGTTCCTTGTTTGATAAGTACGTACACGTCGCGAGCCGAGTACAACATCGCGTATATTGCGAGTGGATCGGGTGCGGGCGATTAATTGGGTATAAAGTACACACAAACAACTTGCCGTTTGATTTTGACTTATGATAATATATTTATAAATTATTTAAAACTGTTTATACATTAAAAAAAAACAACGTGGAAACGTACACGATACATAAGTTACATTTTTTCTCATTTTCATTTTCATTCTCTTATATAGCGTGTGGTACTTGCGTGTTTATGTGTAAGTTTGCAGAGACAAATTTTTTTGTCTTCGGTTACTCTTCATTTCCATTTGTGACTTGCGGCGACGCAATAATCATCATACTCTATTATTATACGATGCGACTTTTTTCTCTGTCGAAAAAAATATCCCGATCTTTTTTCATAACAACAACATTCTGTCATTTTAGCATTATACACGAATCATATCTGTACATTTTCGTCACTTTTGCGCTCTTCATTTTGCGTAAAAAGGGCGATATCGTAAAAAGTGTATTCATGGGTCGTCTCGGTATTGGTATAATTTCTTCTTATTATGCCTATTTTATTAATATTATTTTTTTTTTTACAAGATGTAAGCGATTTTTTGGATTTGATGAACAATGTTTATAATCAACAATAATATTGGTTGTACAATAAACTGCACGATGATGTTCCCTTAATTTGTACACAGCACTAAGGAACTATTACGCTCGATGACAATAGAAAATCGACACATCTTCGAAACTATCAGATCAGTGATTAAATGTTTCCTCTCCTCCTTCACGACTTCATGATTAAAATAATTTTTTACTTCTTTGAAAAACGTATTATCAGTACTTTATGTAATAAAATACAGATATTTAATTTACAACTGAATGATAGTAATCATGATTTACATACAGATAAAAGTAAACGTAAGAAACAATAATACAATGTTTCGACAAGTATTACTTACAAGCATTTAAGGCAGTAGCTCATTACAGAGGCGTAGATGACGAGAATGGAAGGATAGGGTGTAAGGCGGAAGATTGTGCAGTATTGTTTTTTTAACTCACGAAGCCAATAGTTTAAAACTCAAGCCATAATTTTATTACTTCTTTACATTAAAATGAATAATATCGCAAAAATATATATATACGCTCAAAAAAAACAACTTTACATTCGTTTTTCACACAATGATGCTCTTTGAATTCATTCGATGATCGTAACGCCTCGATCAATATATTTTTATGTGTAATTTTTTACTTACAATAAAGCACTCATTTATGTGTAATAATCCCTGTTTTTCTATTTACATTTGTTCAAAATTAATTAAATGCTATTTGATTCATAATCTTTTAGCATATTCTATTCCTTTTTATCAAATTATTTTATTATTATGTTAACAGTTTTAACGAATCGTCATTACTTATGACTCAATTTAATCAAAAAGTTTTATGTCACGCCATAGAAATTTTTCTTTAATTCATTCAGAAGCTATTCGGAAATTTATAAAAATGCACTTCTGTTAGTCTTTAATATTGAAAATTGATTTTATGTATCAACGGTACATTTGCATATTAATTAATTATTTTATTTTCGTCAAGTTTTCGCCAAGATAATCAATGATTGCCGCTTTTTTCATATCTTCAAAGAACAATGATTAATATAATTATGATTATTATTATAATTATCATTATTGGCTGTCTTTGAAATCACATGCTTTGAAAGGTCAACAATGAGAACCGTGCCATGTTCAGTGTATTGTTTTTAATTTTGCTAAAACGTGGTCATTGAATACAAGAAAAATTATAAATAAAATTAACACTTCAATACGATAGCTTTGACGTCTATATCGAAATTTAAAAAGTGTATAAATTACATCTTTTGTTGAAAATAAACATTTCTGCTAGAATAAACTAATTTGCCTAAGTAAAATTGACAACTAAATGTTATCAAAAGACGCGCCAATGATATCGATTAGTCAGTAAAGGCAACTTAATTGCTCCATCCCGAATATATTATCTTTGAATGAAAAATACAATTTCAAGTAAGTATTTGGACAGGCGCAATTTAAGTTTCGTTAAAAAATTATGACAACAGCAGGTCTCAAAAACGTATTTTCGTATGTTTCATACAAAAAGCCATTAAAAATTTTAGAGACAAAACGAATACAGAAAACAGTGCATTCAGTACCTTGTCTTGAAACTTAACGATTTAAAATAAATTGTCAATTAAAAATTAAGAAAAGAACAAATGAACGTGACTCAATGGCGTTATTAAATTATTTACGTAGAAGAGCTTTAAAGGAATCATTTCATTTTAATCTTTCCGTTCAAATAATCAAATGATTTTTTATAAATTAATTAATAGATAATTAATCATACGTTTACCAGTTAAAAAATACAATTACTTCAATTGTAACGGTAATCGTATTTTTTAACTTGTAAATATTAACGAATTTCCTTTCACATCTCATATATTACGACGAAAAAGCAAATGTTAAATCGTAGGAAATTTTTTTAGATGTCATATTAAGATTTTAAGCACCCCTTTTACACGCCATTACGCTTGTTTATCATTACTAGATTTATTTTTATTACTTTCATCAAATATTCTCTTTCATCATTATGCTCATCATCATCCATACTTCGAGTATAACACAATATACAACCATACATCGCCAAAGTAACAAACACCTCCAAACCAACTCCACTGGTTCATTTATATTTTTTTTACGTTCATTTCTCTTTAAGAAATGGTTCTTTCTATGAATATAAAACTCTATCGAATTGATTTTTTTCAATACCGATTTACATTTTATGCGTAAACATATGTATTTTAAAAAATCACGCGTGTTTTATAAATTCATCAACTTCATTAATCTGCCAAATTCTAGCAACAAGGGTTTATATTATTCCGTATATACGATGATTTTTGTTTTATACATTATGTAAAAAATTACTTTATAGGAAATGACACTAGCTCATGACACCATGACTTCTAAATACAATTCGATATTCATTATATATAAAACTTTTGTGTGTGTTTTTGTTACTATTTCACGTTCAAATATTATACACAGCATTACTTTAAGTATTCTTATGAAAATCGAGATTGAAATAATTAATTATCATTAAACAATATTCACCGACTATTTCCTCAGTTCATTTTTTTCATCATCATTCTATGTAACGTAAAAAACATATCATACAATGTTTTGTTTACAAATAATCAAGATTTACACAAGCTCTTTTTGCGTCGCATATATAGAATTTTTTATTTTATTATGTGGAATAAAAATAAAATAATATATTGTCCGTATTATTTTATTTTTCATCACACGTAAAAAAAGTAGTTCGCGCATATGTACATACTCCAATCAATATTAATATAATTACGGTTACTTTTATAATGAGTTTATTGTTAGTATTTGAAAAGACGAATTATTTTTTTATTTCGTATTAATTCATTATTTAAATTCATTTTAAAAAACTAATAATCGTTTGGTATGATTTCTCGATCAAGTTAAAAACATGACAATTGATTTGAAATTTAAATCACTCATTTTATTTTCAATAATTTCAATGATTTTTTTTTGACACCGAAAGTTGATCTTTAATTTTACTTTACTGAAAGGACATCGACTTGTCTTCAAGTTGCATTCATTAAACTGAACAAATGATCAACTTTAAAAATCATAGCCTGTTCATGAATATCAATTTCCCGCTACCCTTTATTTTTGGACTGGATTTATATATGTTCAAAGAAAATGACTAGAGCTTCGACGGTTATTAATTGTACCTTAAAACGATACATTTAATAGTTCCTCTTTATGTTTCGTAAATGTACTTTCAAAGCTCTCAACTTACGCTCATAAATGTAAATTATTAAATGCTAAGTAAACTTTTACCTCAAATTCTACCAGATTTTTTTCAGTTAAAATTCATGATTTTTTCTATTTTATTGATTATTCATGATTGAGAATTTGCTACAGTGATTTTAAGAAATTCAGTCTCATAATTACATTTTTTTATCATAGGATTCGCTTTTTTAAAAAAAGTCATTTCGAAAATTGTTTAACAATCTGTTTAAATATTTAATTTTTTTCGTTATGCTTTAAGTACCACGTACAAATCAATTGCAAATGATTGATGTTCGTTTTTGTGCATGAACTTTATAAAAATAGAAAAAGCAGTAATTTTATTTGAATAGAGTTCAAGTTTAGCCCGCTCGTAATCGATGTTTTTTTAAAAAGCCACGTATATTGGCAGCTAACTTGACAAATCGAACGTACATGACTCGCCGAACTGACCGACTCACCGAATACACATGGCTCGTTGGCGCGTTTATAAAAATTTTCCAACACAACCCTATTAGATACACAGATTACTATCACTCTTCAAGTTCTCACATCGTTTTTTTTTTAATTATTCGTCCGTGGAATTGTCATGACGAAGAGTTGCGTTCAACGTACTCTTCATCTTTGTTTGGACACATTTGGTATCAGAAATATCTTTAATTAGACACTTTCTCTGCAATCATCTTAAATAGTATACAGTTGAAAAGAAAACTTCCATATTACAGAATGGTAGGCTATTATATATAAATAAATATATATATATATATATAGGTCGCATCGTCCCTTATGTATGTATGTACAAGCTTACGGTTTTGTCCAATATTAACTTCCCGCACAAATCACGTACACATGAATCAATAGTAGAAGTAGTTAGCAGTAATAGTAGTAGTGTAGTATTAGTAGTTGTAGTAGTAGCAATAGCAGTCCGTGATAATCATAAATATAAATTAACCTGATCTGGGATTTTACGCGATCCCCGCTGCTCTCACAGAGGCAGCTCGTGACGATTCAGAACCGCACGGATTATCTAATCCATCTTTCAGTATTCATTATGGATCCTGACTGTTATTCGGTGAACTATCGCAGTTTTGCGATCTCTGCTGCTGGAGCAATTGTTGCTGCTGCTGTTGTTGCTGCAGCGACAAATGAGACGTGTGAACGGGAGATGGACCTGGTTGTTGTTGTTCTTGCTGTGGCGGTTGGTCATCCGCGTCTTGTAGAAATTTACTGCAACGAAATGATTAATTATTCATGAAATAAACAAATATGAAGGGTGAAGGGTCAATCGATTCAGCGTACATGTAGGAACAATCAGGCTTACTTGTAAAAAGCCGTTATTGCTCTGTCCATGCTGCTCGAACGTTTAGAATTTACGTACATATCTGGTTGATAGAGTTTTTCCTTCGATGTAAATTGATTGCCACCAATATTTTGTCCTATGTGATATATTCTGCCTGTTGACTCTGGCTTTTCCGTGTGCTGGCTGACGAATATTGGTCCAGCGAAACTAGAAATCATTAGCAACGTTAAATAAAGCACAATATTCAAATATACATCATGGTTAAAAATGTAAAATGAACAATTTACCGAGTGGGTGATTCTGGTCGGTCAGTCGATCGATCTCGATCACGCTCGATAGTCGATCGATCGAAATGTACAGCGCGATCGGTTGATTCGCCGCCCTCTTCAATCGAGGATGACGAAACGGGTATTTCCTTGGTTTCTTCGGTAGACTGTTCATCGGTCTCAGCTTCCTCGGCTTCGGGACATAATTCATAGGCTAATTCAAGAGTCTTTTTAGCACTGCTGCTACGTTCCAAAAAATATCCATTTGTCGATTCATTCGATTGAGCAGGGGGCGACCAACTGTTATTATATGCTTGCATATACGATGCATTCGCCGTATAAGGTCTTTGTTTGTCTAATTCATCTTGAAGCCATTCAATCGCAAGGGTCCATTTTTTTTTAAGTTCAGCATTCCCATACAAAAATTGTTGGGCATTTCTACATTTGCTGAAGAGATGGACCATACACTTAATGCACTGGTAAGCTCGTTTTTGATAGTGACTTCTACTCTTGTTAATTATATCGAATAAACCCTCTCTCTCCTCAGGAACTCCCTTGAGTGCATTATGAACACGATGCATTTGCCATGAATCTTCCATTAGCAACATTTCTAACAAAAGATCTGTATGCCGTCTCAATTCATGAGTATATGCAAATCCTATATGCCACAATAGCTCACTCAAAACAGTTCTGGAAAAGTGAGGATTTTCCCAACAACAAAATTGTAAAAGTTTTTGAGTTTCATCACTAACGCTTCCATCCTCAATCAATAATTTTTTCAAATAACTAGTTCTTCCAAAAAGCAATTCAGCAGCATGTGGTTGTATAGGCATTAAATAATCTTGTCCAACAGATGGATCTCCGTATGGATTTGGAAGAGGCTGATTGTTGTTATTACTTGACTGAGTTTTCGATGACAAGTCGCAGCAACGGATCAATATGCTCACCACTTGGTGCAGTTTTGTAAGCTCAGGATACTGATACTTTATCATTGGCCCCGGACCTTCATCGATAGCCACTAACATGAAAGTTACTGGCACATTTAGCTAAAAAAGAAATTTTTATTTTTTATTTACAATCTGAAAATTTTCATGCCTAAAAATAGTAATTTTAGTACCTTTAAAAGTTGAAGTTTTTGAGGTATGCCATTGGCTGCATGTGTAAGAAAGAGTGTAAAATAATGTGGTAAGTGTCGTCCGTGGTCCGCCACTTCTCGGTGAAGCAGCATCAATACTGCATGTAAAAGATGATCACTTAATGTTGCAGTTGGATCAACAAGTACACCTACGAAAATATATGAGTTAATTAACGATTAAAAATATTTGATCCCTATTTCAAGAGGTAAAGGAAAAAAATCGTACTTGGAGCATTCATAGGTGGTGGACAAGGTCCATCTTGCATGGAGAAGTGGATCAAAAAGACGAGAATTTTCATGAACACGTTTCTGACTTCTGTGGCTGGACACGCGAGTAAGTATTCACAAAATCTATGCGGATGATTAAATAGAACATTGTGAGCGAACCAGGAGCGAACATTTTTACTTCCCAACAAATGATGGCACACTACATCATGCCAGTCATTCACAGTCCCACGCAAAGTCTTCTTTGTATGAAAGCCGGTAAAAAATAGAAATTTTGACGCCAGTTGAATTGATAACATCGATAATTCTTCCGCCTCGGGACTCTAAAGAAAATAAAAAATATTCATTTTTAAAATTGTAAAGTTAATGTGACAAAGTTGAAATTGTTTACTTACAACTTTTTCGTTAGGTCTTGGATTAATTGGATTACACGCTACGAGTTTTTTGATAAACGTAAAATATTCTGTGTTGAATTGATTTCGATTATGCATAAATTTAATGTTCTGTTTCCTAACACTATATTCGATTGCTGGAGGCATTTTTGTTACTCCTAACTTGGTATCTATAAAAAGAAAATAATTACATAATGTGGGAACAAAAGCGAAAATTTTGAAAATGTATTTCAATTATTACTTACATAAGGATAATTCATTAACTTTTTTTAATTGAGTATTTGGTTCTACGTCGTTTCTCGTATAAAATAGCATGTAAGCATTCCACCACCTTTTTTGTCTTCTGTAAGTCATTCTTTTGAGTATGTGATCGAATACTTCGCCTACGTAGTCACCACCAAAACATTGAGCCTTGATCTCTTCTTCTTCTTCCATTTTACATTCGGTTACGTCTCCATCGTCAAACTTGTACCATTTACCCGTTCCGTTGCTTTGTCTATACAAAATTTCATATTTTAAAATGATTAATAATCATTGATTACAGTCATATTATAAAAATTGTACACAAATATTACCTGTGTAAGATATATGAATAGTAATGTCCTCCACTAGCTTGTCCACTATGAACTACAATACCAGTTAATTGATATTTGGTACAAGTGCCTTTAATTGCATCTTCGCTATCCCAGTCTATAACCTCCCCTTCTAATTTGGCGAGGCCCGAGACTGTATAAGGATCCATGTCGAGATCTCGTGGAAACTCAAAGTAGTCGTTAAACTTAATGGCGCAAACTCTCTCGAAATCATATTCGAATCTTTTTAATTGGATAGCTAAGATTGGTGGCAATTTCTTAACGCATAATCTTTTAACTGTTACAACCTAAATAATACATGGTTTGTTAATTTTGTCCTTAATCTTCGATAAAAATAAGTTAAAAATTAAAACATACTTTTTTGTTACATTTATCACAGTGATAAGCATCGGCTCCCTCAAGCAGTTCTCCCTTGACATATTGCTCCAAAGAGTCCAATAAATTATTTTGATTTCTAATATCCACACTTATAACACTAAAAGGCTCTTCTTTTGAGTACCTTTATGATTGAGAAGATGATAAAATTATATATATATATATATATTTTTTTTATAAAAAATGACGAAGAATTATAAAAATTAATAATACCTGTGAGGACAGCCCTTGCAAATCTTTTGGTCACTGTAGGATCCTCCAAGGATTTTACTCATAATTTGTTCATGTCCAAGAGCTTTAAGTGCTTCGTCTAAACTTTCTATCAAACTCATAAAAAATTCTACAGCATCTTGTTGCTCCCGGAGATTTACAGGTTCACCTTGAAGTCTGAATAAATAGTACGGAAAATGTTAGTCTCGGCGCTTGTTACGGTTTAAAATTTGTTTATTAAACTTACTTGAAATGTTTCCAAAGGCCACGTGGAATATAGTACTGCAGCTTGCTATATGCCAAATGGCCAAATATTGCCTGGACCTGCTTTAGTATACCAATGTTGTACTCTTTCCTCGATTCGTCTACACTGCACTTTTCTTCGTTACTATCATTATCATTAGCCTCGATGGTCTGCTCATTCTCCAGTCTTTCGTCGCCAGAAAAGTCTTCATTTGGATCTACCGCTGCACCTTCCGCTGCAAGCAACCCTACGCGTATACTCTCTACCATATACAGTTGCTGCAGTACTGAGTTCATATAACACGTCGCACCGGCATTTTTCAAACCTACAAAGCCTTGGGCTGGTCTTGGACCTACTGGCGGTAAGTAATCCCATTCGACCAATGGCTCATCCCTATCCGAGTAGAACATGTCGCACAACATACTGACCAGCAGTTTCATATTTGGAACACATCCTGCACACAAACTAATAAGCAGTTCAAATGCGGCACTGATCGATTGGGGTGTACTGCAGACAGGAGGGGCGAACGTCGATCCGAGTTCGCTACCATTACGCAATTGAAGCATACTGCACGAAGCAGGAAATATAAAATCTTGAACAAGCTCCATTATCAAATTAACACCTCGCTTCTCGTCCGATCCTAGCTCGAACTTCTTGCTGGCTGGAAGAAAAGATAGTAGTTCTTTGGCGAGACCAAGATGACCCTCCAGGACTGCTTCATCAACTTGACTGTCGCCAGTTTTGTGAACTCGATCTCGCACTTCTTTAAGCCATGCAATTTCTGTGCTCAACCAACTTTCGGCTGGTGCTAATTGACAGCCGGATAGGTGCGCATAATTCAGTAATTTGCACAATAGCTGCAATGTAGGAAATAATAAAAAAAAATAATTAATGAAAAGTTCGTTACAATTTCCAAGTTATCAAAGCCCGTGTGTAAAGCTTACTTGGAAAAATTCATGGCTCTGTTTGGCATAATCCATAGCTGCGGTATTAATAACTGGGAAGAGCCGCATAATAAAAAACTGCAGAGCTTGATGGCCACTGCTACACCAAGATGATATTAGGAAAAATTGTTCGGCTGCTGTTGCGCGAATCTGTCGCGAATCGCTCAACAATACAAGGTCTATCAGAAAAGTATTCCACATGAAATTTTCTGTAGCAGGTTCATTGCGCATAGCACCTTTCGTCAACTCTTCTAAAGCCTTTGGATTCAGTACTATGGCGATAGTCAACACTTCCAAAGCTTCTTTACAGACTGTAAACAATTTTAATAATAGTTTCAATTATCACATAGTTTGATCAATAATTCAAAAAATTAAAGTTATAAGCTTACCTAAAACATCACTATTATCCGAGTTCCTCTGTTCATGGGCGTTAGTCTCATGCATTTCGTGCAATACCTGTGGCGAGGCGTTAATGTTATTTAGACTACCACTCGAAGAAGCCCAAGCTAACCTAATTATGGCACGAATCGTCACTAAATCAGGCAACTCCCAAGATATAGTCTGATCCAGAAGGGACCGGCATCTATCCAATTCTGCACTACCAATAAGCATCTCGTTGACGATAAGCGTGGCCAATTTAACGGCGACTGTTCTCAACATGTACTCGCTATTTGTATTTGGAACACTTTGCAACGCCTGCTTTAGTACACTTATAGGCACTATCATTGTTTGCTTATTTTGTAGATACTCGAGACTTGTTTGAGGTACATCATCAGTCATTAACGACAAAAAATTAGCCATTACTGTAAGCAAAAACTTGCAAAGCTTGAGAACTGTCAAGTAGGCCGAGCGTTTGGTCGTCTCATCAGCATTTGGCAAAAACTCATTGCTTGTCAACAATTCAAGAATTTTACTAGCTTCACCACTTTTTATAAGCTGTAATTGTACCTCTTGAGCTCGATCTGATATGGGATCTAATGCTGGCATTAAAGTAGCATAAAGTACCTAGAAATATAATAAAATTACAACATTATTTATTTTTATAAACTTGTCATAGTAATATAACTTCAACTCACTTCTAAATTATATAAAACTTGACTGGGACTTGGAGAATAGAACGGATTTGTTGGTGTTCCTTGTAAATCATCTGTAAGAGCTAGATTTCGCGCTTCCTCATTTTTGAACCTACCGAAAAACCATTGGAGTTTATTTACTGTTAGACGATCCGGTGGAACGAGCTGCAACAGATTTCTTGCACCATCGCGCAACTGAGGGATGTCCAGAGTACAGCCCAAATCGGCCAATTGAAAGAAAAAATTGGCATATTGCGGCCGTTGAGATAATATCTAAAGGAAAAACAAACAATAAATTAAGCTTGCAATAAAGGCTTATCACCAAAACTTGAAATTCAAAATAATAACTTACGACTCCAGGTAAACTACTTTCAGCCTCTGGATTCGAGGCGTGACCACCTTCCATCTTAGTGTATGGATGATGAGGTGAACTTGTGGAGCTATCGGAACTGCTATCAGGAGAACTTGGCATATTCGTATTGGTTTGGGTTATTTTAGCTGACAACGTCTACAATAAAAAATCATGAATGTAAAAAGTATCGATTATTTTCTTAAACTAAAAAGCGAAAAAATTGAATACCATTTTAGGCCAATGTAATTGCGATAAGAGTTTCTTGTCATCAGAAGGCTCCAAAAGTTCACCAGTAAACATAAACAGATCCAGTTTCAAGTTGGAACCTGTAGCTTTAAGTCTTCGTAATATTTGTCGTCTTAACGAGGCAAGCGTATCATTTGTATGTGTGTAAATTTCAACATCATCAACGTTTCGAGTTGAATTAGCGAATCTTATGTTTATGGACATATGTTTACCTCTTGCAGCTCTATAAATTCACAAAAAAGAATTCTTTAAACTATTCAAACTTAATTGTGATTAAATTTAGTAAAAAATTGAAAGATTCAATAATTGTACCTGTGCAGGGGCAAAATTTTCCTTTCACCAGGAAAGGCTGTATCGCATTCATTCAGATACTCTTGTAAAACTTTCATAACACGGCATATTTTTACGGACTCTGATTTTATATAATCTTTATTTTTAGCATTTTCTTCTTGTGAGCTTCCGAGCTTTTCTTTCCTTAGAATAGATACTGTGTCATAATGGATTTTTAATCGATCCATACATTCCACGATGTAACTTTCGTGAAATTCGATTACCGATGCCTGTAATCGAGGACCTAAATTTGTATTAACTTCTTTAAGAAGTTCGATTGCCCTATTGGCTATTTCTTCTGGACTATTGGTAACAACCTTAAATATAAAATTTATGTTTAATGTTTTAAAATTGTATTCAGTTTTCGAAAAAGAGTGACACGCTAAAATATTTCGAGGCACATACCCTCCACAAATAATGCGATCCTATTAACTCATTATCATCCATAAGAATAACACGTCTTTTTTGTTTTAGTTTTCCCTCTTTTAAATTAACAGCTTTAAAAAATCTCTCGAAGCATTTGATTCCACTTTCAGTAAGCAAAGAAGGATCCAACATTAGAATATTATTTTCGAAGAAGTCTTTGTTGATAGCTGGATCAAGATCAGGCTCCTCTCCCATTAGTTTCGAAAACCATTTGAAACAAGCTTCTCTATCAGAAGGAAAAACGGCTTGTTCAGCTAAACACTGCCATATTTGCTTAGCTTGTTCAGCACAAAGCCATAATTGCCCATCCTATAAACACACATTTATTTATTTTTTTTTTAGCTTTTCTTTCCTCTCTATTTGAATACGTTTATTAAATGTAATTATTTATTACTTACTTTTAGTAAAAATCGCAAGAAGTTGAGTCTCTCTTGTACTTGTATTACGTGATTATAACGATTATCTGGCGTGTAAGTATTGGGATCTATGTCTGGATTTTCTTCAACAAGTTTTCGAACCTTATCCATGTAAGTGGTTAAACTTTTTGTCACAAGAATAACAACACAATGTTGACTCTGAAGGCGTTCTATAACTTCTTGCCTGTAATAAGCGTGATGAGAACGTTGATTGTGACCCACATTTGGATTAGGTTCGTAAAGACAGCAAATTTCTCGAATTTGTTTCAGAGAAGGTAAGGCCCATTTTTCATCACTTTTCAATTCTTCTACACATTTATCCAACCATATCATTTTTTGAGCATCACGTTCTGCAGAGCAAGAGTAGTCTAAAATTTTAACATGTGCGCTCAAAGCTTGATCCATAATTTCAGTTGGTACTTCGTCTGAATGAGCTAAGTTCCAAAACAGCATCAGGACCTATGATATATTCATTATAATTATTTCTCGTGTTTTTTTTTACATTATTTCAATATTACGATTGAATTGTTTTTTATTTTACCTTATGAGCCATGACTCCGTCTTTGTCATCTTCAGCTAGACGTCTTATTAACTCTAAAAGCTTTTCTCGTTGCTTTTTATTGGCGGTTTTCCAACTCGTCTGGAATAGAGAAACATTTAAAATATACTAATAGTTGAACTAACAAAGAATTTTCAAATGATGTAGAATATAAAAGTGAAAATTTATTTTTAACGAAAATATGAATAAACGTCACTACTGCGTATTTAGAATCGTTTGCAAAGAGCTAGACTTATATTTTCAGTGACTCCAACAACTTTGCCAACAATTGTTATTTTACAAAAAATACAGGATACATCGACACCCTGTGCCAGAGTTCTGTATGAACAAATTAAACAGAAAGAAATATACTTACTTGAAAGCATTCAAAAAGATGATCCAACTGCTCAGGGCTGAAATCCCAAGCCAGCTTAGCTAATAAGTCGTGAACATTTTTTACAATTGCTTCATGTTTACCAGCTTGAGCAGCCCAGACAGCGTCTAAATCTTCTAATGTTAGTGTCCTTTCTTTGATGATAAAACGTAAAATTTTTTCAAGTTTTTCTACATATTGCGGTTGATGCAAAGAATCCCTCAAAACAATTTCTAATACGCCGTTTTCTTTGATCCATTTCTGTTAAAAATATATAAATTAAAAATTGATTATATTAAATACTGAAATAATAACATTGCGTAGAGTATCACTTACAGCCATTCTTTCAGCTGTCAACCACTCTTCTCCCTCTAAATTTGTATTTCGATGAACGCTATAATTAACACTTCCAATAACTTTATTAACTTCATTGAGAGCGTGCATTTTTCCGTTGAAAGAAGAGATTTGTAGTAGTCTCAATATCATTTTTAATCTCAAAATTTCTAGATTCTTTATAATTTCTTCTTCATAAGATACTCGCGATACTATACATTTGGCTGATTTTATTATGGCAGATATCGCGTCATTTTTTGATTCATTTTTTGCTTCTTTTTTAAGTTCAGCATCTGTCAAGTTATCTAAAATTTGAGGCACCATTTGCTAAAATACAAAGTGCGTCAATTAGAAATATTATAATTAAAATTTGGATTTGTATTGAAAAGTATAAATATTATACATACAACTATGGGCATAAGATATTTCTGTATTGTTTTATATGTTAATAGTTCACAGCACGTGCCAAATGGCTTGATTAATGCATAAATAACTGGCACTGTCAAATTTCTTCCACTTGAAAATCTTTTCAATAAAATGTCAAAACCACTCAGACTTCCAAATCTAAAAATGAAAAAGAAATTTAGCATTATTACTTTAATTATAACCAATTAATACTTTAAAACAATTACTGACTTATTTATAAGATCAACTAGCCAACCACGAGGATTTCTTGAATCTTGTGACCTAGCATAAATTTCATCATCAGAAATGTTACTGCCTGGTGGTACTGTTTCTGAAACTCTGGACATGTTGAATGTATGAAATCTGAAAATAATTATTAGTTTATTAATTATTACATTTTATATTGTTTTTATATTAATAATTTAATATTAAAGAAATATATTACTTGTTATATGGATTAAAAACCATGGCTAGTAAATCTAAGAGAGGAAACCAGTCATCTTCAAGTTTCAAGACACACAGTTCAATTAGTCTTAAACAATTTGCGTGAATGTAACTGTGTATATTCATTTTCCAACTATTGACAGCATCATCAGTTAAAATTTTGGTAAAGGAAATAGTTAATCCTTCTCTAAAAAACCTTTGACATGCTTCACTCTGCACATCAACCCCTGTGAAATAAACCACAATCATCATAGATACCGAAGGACGCATATAAAGTTGTAATTTCTTTATTACTAAAAAAATAAAATACCTCTTTTACAAAGATTGATGCTGGCCTGAAGAAGGCATTCCAACTCTTGATCAGGCAAAACTGGCACTACCCACCTCGGACTAGATATCTTTTCATCAAGCATTGCAAGCTTTGCATGAGGAAAATCAGGTTCAGTTCTTTGTTTATTGTTTTCCTCTGCACTAGTGGTAGATGTTGTATCATTGGGACACTCGTTGGGAGGAACATTTTCTGTTATTTGCAAGCTAGACATCATGGTGTCTACCAATTGTTGCTGACCAGGGGAACCAGGTATCTGAATTATTTAAATTGGTAGAAAATAAGAACTACAAAAAACATATTGTACGATTTAAATTACATATGTTACTTACCATTGTGCTGCTTTGATGACTGTCAGGTGGGTCAACGCCAACACCTTGGCCTCTAGTAGCGATTGTCATCCTGTTGTCAAATGACTGCTACAGCCCTTGCTCGTCTCTATGACTGTGTGAGTTTGGAAGCAGCAGCACAGTGGTATCGTCGCAGTAGCAACAAGCATTCAGCAGTGTCATGAGAACACACACAATTCGTTGGACTGCTCTGAGTTTGAAAATTCACTAGAGTTGTGTGGTCTGAAGCCTTAAACAATAGATGTTGCTGTAGATGCTCCTACTTCAATACCTATATATACATATGTGAATATATATATAAATATCTACATAATCTGTAACATAATGAAAATATTGACACATTAATAATTGCAAGCGGCATTACGCGTGATTACTGTAAGTACGTATGGATGTGACGAAAAAATCGAGTAAATATCGAAGCCGATAAAAAAGTTTAAGAATAGAAAAGCACAAACGCACTTTTGTCGAGGGAAAAAAAATGTATACGAACTGCAGCCTCTGACGTATCGATGAAATAAGACACACATATACACGAACGAAAGTTCAGCTTTAAACGAGAGGAAGCGAGGCGGGGCTGGTTATACTGCTATATAAGACTGTTGCCGCCGCTGCTGTTTCGCGATTATCTGCGATAGCGAACATCTTTCTGTTTAAGCCCGTACACGCGGGGCACAAAACATTTGCACTGCACACGCACATATGTGCACACGAGACTTTAAATAACATAAACTTGGAGCACGAAAGCTACTGGATTTAGTTAAATGTTGATAGGAGGATTAGCAGCAGTAGCTTTGGCATAATATGCGTACGGCAATGCTAACGATGTAGTTAACATCAGCAGGAGCAGCAGAATAGGAACAAGTGAGATTAGTATAAAGACTGCATTAACATGTAACTTGCATAATGTACATGTATAACGATGAAAAGGTAATTCAAGTTATAGACGAACGTTGGAGCAAATTCTCCGACTCTCTCTCTCTCTCTCTCTCTCTTGCTCACTCACTCATTCGCTCGCACTCTTGTCTCTCTTTCTATAGCGATCCCTTCGTAGTTCGCATGCAGCATACGCGCAAATATATATACAGCAGGCGCACAAACGAGAGCGAGAGCGGCACTCGGAGACAGAATATACCTTATATGCCTCTGCATATGTATATAACAGACAAGCGAGAGAGCGAGAGAGAGAGAGAAAGAGTACAATATGCTTGTGTATAACAAACATATATTGTACGCGGTGCATGAGCAAAACTATACTATGACGAGCGCAACCGAACGGAAACCTCTTCGGAGTCGTCGTCGTGCGCTGCACATACACAAGACCCGGTCGCGAAAAATAATTTCCGCGTTCGCATACACATATGTAAGCGGTATGCGTGTGTCGTCTCGACTCCGATTTTTTTACGTACAATATATCTATATACGGTGTCGGTACACCTCTTCCTATATATGTATATATATATACGCCGTACTACTACTATACATATGCACGCAATACTTATACATATTCGCGCGGTACATAAGATGTAACATGTACTCGGTATATCCGATACTCGTACATAGGTATACACAAAAGCCTGGGCGGCTCTGTGTACATGAAGTCGAAGACTCACGACGAGAGAGAGACAGAGATACGTTTGTGTCAATGTGTTGTACATGTAAGTGCGAATCCGTACAATAATCTAGAGGGTGTTGTGTTGGCTTTTGTAGCCGACGACGACGACGACGACGTTGATAATACGATGACGAGAACGATGACGGCACATAGGCGACACACACACGGCGACTACGAGGAGAGGAGGATGATGCGTGCGTTCATTACATAGGTGTATATTTATCGCGTCAAGCGCACGAAAAATAATATGTATATGACACGAAACGACGTCCAGAGCCCGATCGTATAATTCGTAATATTATTATATATTTATAAAGGCAATAAGTATGCTCATTGCGACAGCAGCGGCAGCGGCGGCGAGCTAGCTCGCGGATGGGCTGATTTTAAATCATGCGGTAATATTCACACTCACACACAATCGATGGACACACGATCAGCACACAAGGAGCACGAGAGCACACCAAGCACCGTGTTTCGCGAGATCACTTTTTATCACATATTTTTACTACACATTAAAATACCTGAAGGCACGACCGAGCACATTCGCACGAAGTATCGTGCGTATAAATGCGGTTTACTACATATACACACACGGAGGCAGATACACCATGTACTGGAGACTCGATATATACCTATATGTATAGGAGACCGACGTGCTCTCTTGCGAGTATCAAAATTCGCATTATTATATGAGAGAGGAGCAAAGCAAATGCACACGGCAAACACTTACGCACACTGATGCACACCCACGGAGATAGACGATACGCACACACATGCACACACGCAAAGGCACGGGTTACAAAAACACTTGGCGTTGAGATTGATTAACGAGTCTTGAGACTAGTTGTTGTTGCCGCTGCTGCTACTGTTGCTGCTGCCTGCGAATGATCCGAAAAATCGTGTCTCCACCGGACACTCCGAGTACTTCAATGTGATATATACACAGCAGGAAACATGAATTTAATGTGTATGATGCTAGTTGGGACATGTAATAATAATAGGAATCTAATTAGAATTGCGAAAACGTTATACAGCGAAAGAGAGAGAGAGAGAGAGGAGAGGCGGTTTCGGACAACAATTTTCGGAGCTTTTGGCACTTTTGGGTTTATGTGTGTGTGCGTGCGTGTGTTTGTGTGTATAATGTATTAACGCGCACGCACACTTACCGACACAAACACACACACACACGGCGACGTCGACGACGTAGGTAATCAGCACGACGATAATGCACACGAAAAAAAAACGAAAAGCCTACGTTGACTTCAATTTTTTTTTCTCTGTCCTCGATACGCGAGCTATTTCGCTGTGTAACGCGAAATCTCGTTCATCTCTTTAATTTAACTCATGCTTACTTCTTCGCGCTTGTTGTTGTCGTCTCTTCTCTTCCTTCTCTTTGTCGTCTACGTCGTCTACGTCTACGTCCTCGTCGTCGACGTCCTTGCTAATTTCGCACTTACACTTGTCTGCACGTCTTCTTCGGGCTCCTCGCGAGCGCCGATCCTCCCTTGGCGACGATTATTGTTTTAATGTGTAATATAAAAACCTCTGCGACGATGAGCGACTTCGCTCGTAGATATTCCGCACCAACAGTTGTGTGTATTGTACTCATATGCGACTGTTTGTGTATATATGTGCGGTGTTTGTGTGTAAATGTACGTAAGCGCGACTGTCGTGGTATTATACTATACACTATACAATATACATATGTCTCATTGGGGAGAGAATTCACAGAGAGAAATAGACCTGTATATATGCGTTTGAGCGAGAGAGAGAGAAAGATAGAGGAACACCGGGGGCCGAACTCTCCGGACAAAATGGCGACTAACAAGCAGCAGCCACTCGCGCAATATTTTGCGGCTGGTGCCTCGATGCGATTCACGCGGCTCGCTATACCTATATATAATCTTGATATATATATTTCTCTCCGATGTAGGCGCGATTCTCGGCGCCCAAATGAAGCGTGTTTGTGTGTGTGTGTGTGTGTGTGTATTAATGCCTGCGATATTATACATTACACACACGCGCAAGAGATGTTTACCTGCCTGTATCATGTATGAACTGTACAACTGACAAACCGATATTCATATATTATAGTTCGAAAAGACCGCTCGATCCGAAAAAGCGTTGGTCGAGCTTTTTTTTGACTCGACGTTCGCTTACGAGCACCACAGGCTTTCGATTCCCATCCGCCCTTTATTTTCAAACGAAAGGTTCGATCATTTTCGTATTGAAAAAGAAATGAAATAAATAAAAAACCATCGTATTTTATTCACAATATATTTTCAATTCATAAATTATACAAAGTTTATCATAACCGTTAATTTGTTAGACTTATATTTCTGACGAAAAAAATCATTATCGTCGAAACATCATAATAGGATAAGATAACAAATTTGGACCAAAGTATAACTAAGTATAAAATGTTTTCATTCTCATCAAAAGTCAAGCGCTAAAATATCGTCAAGACATTTCTTTTTAAATTACATTTTATCAAAATAATCGATGTTCGTTTTTTATCCTGGATTCTCATAAGGATCATGGATTAAGAAAGCAAGAAGAAGTACAGCAAAATAATAAATTACAATCATGAACCCAGTTCATTTACTTTCATACAATGAATAAATACATTCGCGATCGATGCAATACATTTTTGTAGATTCAATTTCAATCATATCTCAACCCTGTGGATTTTAGAAAAACTTAAAATATTCACAAATTCAAATTAACTATTCAATTTGTACTATTTTTTTTCAGTTATCACTATATTTAGCAGTAGAACGGGTATAAATTTACATAAGTAATCGAGTCGATCTTGTCGTACGTGTAAGTATCAATTTCCACTTTGCTAAATATACAAGGAAAGAGTCATAAATTTGATCAGAAACAATTCGAGTTTAACAAGTGTTCATAATTTCATGCGAATTATTTTATAATGCACCAACAACTTGCAAAAAAGATTTATGATATCATAAATGAACACAGAAGGCTAATCATAATATATACAGTTCTGCTGTTCAAAAATATTCAAGAAAGGAACAGAGTTTGTCTTTTCACATGATAGTTGAGTTTTACAATAATGCAAAGATTACATTGAAAAATGCTGCTTAAAATTATCCTATTTAAAGACAACAGTATCAAGAATACTTGGTACTTTGACACAGATTCAACCATGTCAGATCAATTTTTTTTATCATTTTTCATAAGTTACCCACAACAACACATCTGATAAGCATTCAAAGTAACCACTGAGTGATCAGTCATTTTATTATTTGTGCATGAATTTTTTGTTTTACAGTTGTTTTTATACTCATTTTTTTATTCAGCCATGATGTGGTGTTTCAGTGCATGGTAAGAATTATTATCGATTTCTCAATACCTGAGGTCTTTGTAGATTGAAAGAAAGTGGTAGAATTATACACGCAAACAAAGATCATAACATCAATTCCTCCATTTCTTTAATCAGCTCTGCTTCCTTTTTAATTTTATCCAATTGGTTTATTTCCAGTTTCTTTCCGCTATTTTGTTGTTCCTTCAGTTTAGCAATTTGATCCAATTTCTGCAAAATGTTGATAAAAAAATAAGCTGCAATAGTAAAATAAAACTACCTGGAAATAATTCACGACAATTCACTTACAGTTCTTATTTTCTTAATAGCCTTGTTCTTTTCAGGATCGTCAGTGGGTTCCGGATTAGGTGTTGAATTAGTAGATTTGGCAGAGGGTGTAGCAGATTGTCCATTGACACTGACATTTTCTCCCAAGGCAGCTGCTTGTTCTTGTTTTTTTATTTGCTTCCTCTCACGTTTTTTTGCATTTTTGGATGGTTTGTTAGGGATAGTTTGTTTTGTTGGCTTTTTATCATCAACATCATCGTAAAGACTGAAAGCAGTTCGCGCCGAATTTCTTGCTGAAGGTGGTCTATAAGCTTCTTTGGATGCTAAAATAGGCAAATAAAGGATTTGAAAATCTGTGTAAAGGGACCAATTTATTTTTCTATTTTTATATACCTGTTGGACGACTTGGAGCAATGCCTTCAACCGTTGTGTAATTTATCACGTTTTCTTTGAAAGTACCAGCTGGGAACTTTTGCCATTGCACTTCCCACAATTCTTCCTGCTTGTTCCATGGTCGTTCAAATAACAGAGTTCCAGTGTAGTGGAAAATGTTAAATCTAAAATGGTCATTAATAAAATCATTCATGTTTAATTTAAAATTGTTTAAATAAATATTTACCCATTGCTAACACGAAGTCGTGGAGCTGTAGTAGCTGTCATGTAATGCTCACCATCCGGTGACCATTCCATTAATGTTGTATCGGGGGATTCTGTTGTAGCAATAAGTTTGTGTTTTTTGGTATCCCATAATTCGATATCACCTCTGAGATTACCAGTACCAGTCAATATCACAAGTATAGAAGTGGTTAAGGAAATAATATTAAAATTTCACATATAAATACTTTCAGCAAAGTAATTGATTTTACTGATAAAATTAATTTGTATAAAAAGGATATTGTTTCCATGAGGATTGTATAAGATGGCATTACGATGTTTAGTTCCAAATTCAAAAATGGGTTCACACTTTAAATTGAATAAAGTTGCTTTTGAAGGCATAGAACCATAGATAACAATGAACTCAGTACTTTTAGGAGACCATTGTACAGCATGAATAGGACCTTCTTTGCCTATAATTTGATGATTAATTATCATTGAAAGATGTGTTGATCATAGAACAGTGATGATTTATGAAATATTATTCAACATACTTAATGCAACAAGATTAGGTTGACATTTGGTACCGTAAAAGAGCAATGTTTGTTTTCCATAATAAGAAGCACCAGTCTTATCCACTTCAGTACTAGCTAATAACAACATGTTAGATCCTTGTTTATTCCAATAGAAGTTGATGCGATCATCCTGATATAGTTATAGCATAATTTGTAAGTATTGAAGGCATATGTATTGATCAAAATAAATAAATATTCTAAAAAACTAACATGATAGAAACTTTTGGTAGCAACTGGTTTGTGTTCTGGAGCTTTGAATTTTGGATATTGGAACATAGAACCAAACGAAGGTTGTCCAGATTTTCCTAAAAATAATGAAAGAGCGTTAACCATGTATAATTTACACTAGAGTAAATACATTTCTGTAATAAATTATATTATTTTTTAAACATTAAATAGTCATCAAATTAAAATAAAATACAGCTCAAGATAAAATACTTTGTGGAATTTGATACCACAAGCAATTAAGACATTTTTTAAAATAGTTGTTTCAAGATACCTGGTAAATGACAGCAAATATGGTATGGTTCACGACCAGGAGCTATGCTGAATTTGGCAATTTTACCAACGTTCATTTTATGTGCAACTGTTGTGAAGTCGTTCTCGTACAATACAACATCATTATTAACTAACATACCACATACTTTTTCATCATCTGTCCATAGTGGCTCCCTGGAGAATTAAATAGATTTAATTGAAATGTCATTGTATTTTTATCATTTGCAATTAAAAAATAATATTATACCAATCAGTTTGTTTTTTGTGCACAAAACCTTTCACAAATGCTCCCGTTAATGGATTCCACAAATTTAAATTAGGATTGCCTTGAGGATTTGCATCATTTACTAAAGTAAAGATTTAATTATAAAGTTGATATGATTCAAGTTTTCTCAATTTATATGATATTTTACCAATAAAAGGTTCCCATGACATTAAGTAGGTATCTTGTGGAGAGAAGGCAAGGGCAAGCACCTTTGGTTTAGGAATTTCAGCAATAAGTTGCCATGTTTGACACGAGATAATTTTGATGTTTGTACCATTAGCCCATGCAAGGAATTTTCCTTGTGGGCTATAAGCCATGGCTTTACATGCCCTGCTGTCATCTTTTTTGAATGAAGAGACAACCTCATACGATGGTGGACCATACGACACGCTGATACCAGTTGAGCCTCTGACTGTAATGTAAATCAGATAAGTTATACACACTGTATGTAGGGCTAAAGATAAGCCATGAAACGCCAACTTTAAACAGAAAAGTTAGCAAGCAATGAAAAAAAGTAGCTAAAATAACAACAAATTCTGACAATTTCAATTACTAACTTAGTTTGAGCTTGTATCTTTGAAAAAATTCAAATAAAATTTCAAAGAAATTTCATAACATCGATTCTATAGACTTGTTAGACACGTTACACCGTTCGATCACCGTTGAACCGAGTCGGCACAGTCGTGCGAGCGAGCAACGAGAGGGAAAAAATTCGCAGCTGTTTCTGGTCGGCTCATTTTGCGACGAGCAACAGGAAAAAAACTCAGCTTCGCGTAAAGGCCGACGCGTACAATCAATTAAGATAATGATTAATTAAAAAGTAATAATAAAAAGTCTTACTGGCCACGCAGGGCACGGTTAACGCCATTTTACTCGTATTACAGCTGCCAAGCTCTGCCATGTGCCAAGTCTAAAATTTGGAGCTGTACTCGCAGTTCAGCTCAGCCAGCGGTCGCGCGAACCAGCGAGCGAGCGAGCACGTATTCGACTCTTAGCATCGTCTCGATTATTATACAGGCTGCGAGCGCGCGATAGAAATCGATTTCTCGAAACTCGAGCCCCCCGAGAGCCCATCGAATAAGCGCGTTCAGCAGTAGTCGGAGTCTTGAGTCGCGTCGACTGCTGCGCGTGTGCATGATTAATTTCGCGCACGGCGTGAGCGCACAGTGCCGAACTGCAGAGTTTTACAGCAGTTCAGTTACTGCTGCTGCGCGAATTACTGTACGTCGCATGCCGACGATGACGAGAAACGATGCGCTGCTAATATAGGAGCTCGCTGTCGTTGACAAAATCTCGCGAACGCGGAAAAAAATCATCATCGTAACGCAAAAGCGACGTTTTGGCTCTGTGTGCGTGCGTGTGTGTGCGCGCGTGCCGTTTCGTCATATCGTAAACATTCATAGTGGGCCCGAGCGCGCCGCACACGTCTTTCTCATTATATACTGCTGCAGTTATGCTGAGTACAAAGGAAGATGTTCTGATCGGCGCTCCGGGGATTCGGTTTATTAGTCTCGAGTCGTGCATGCGTCTGGAGTTAATCGGCTCGTGCTCTCCGCGCGTGCAGCAACAACAGCAGCAGTGGCAGTACCGCGTTTAATTTTTTTTTTTTATTTATTTTTTGTTTGGCGCAGTTTTGGATTGTTGTTTGTCGTCATATATCATGGCCACTTCACGCTTTAGGTATGTGTTCTGCTGCAGAGTCGCTTTTACTCGACACTCACATTCTGCATCGCGGTGATTTTTTTTGTTCACAAAATTTTGCTCGACTCCTATTTTCGCATAATTCGTAAACCCAATTGATATTATGGGCAAGGTTATTAAAAAGGAGAAACAGTGCAGTGTTTATTTTTCAGTTGCGAGTTGCACTTGTGGTGTTTTTTTTTTGTGACTTCGAGATTGTTGCAATAATGCGTTTTTTCTTCGCTGTCTTTTTTTTGTTTACTGTAGTAAAGTCGACGAGTATGGATTCGAAAGACCGGATAATTTCAATTACGAGACCTACGAGGAATTCATGTCCGAGTACTTGAAGGTACTGGCGAAGAGGGCGAAAAAATGGTCCGACATAATCGGAGAGGGAAGATCCGTCAGGAGGAATCTCACTGTCAAACGATACGTGCGCAAGGGTATACCCGGAGTCCACAGGTGCTCGGTAAGTCGTCATCCATCCTGTTATTAAATGACCACGTGTGCGACCTATTAATCATCGTGTTTGACACATTTTTCCGTTCTGCTTTGGTTGACTCAGGTGTGGCTGTCCGTCAGCGGAGCGGAGGAATTGAAAAACAAATCGCCGAATTTGTATCAACAATTGTTGAACGACCAACACGATCCTCAAGTGGCGGAAAATATCAGAATTGATCTTCCAAGAACATTTCCGGATAATATATTTTTTAACAACACAGACCTTCATCAACGTCAATTATACAATATTCTATTAGCATTTGCGCATCAAAATCAAGAAGTTGGATACTGCCAGGTAAATTTTTATTATTTTGATTCATTATTGTTATTGATTTTAAATTATTTAATAACGTTCATCTCATGTTTAGGGATTAAATTATATAGCTGGTTTACTTTTGTTGGTTACCAAGAATGAAGAAAATGCTTTCTGGTTACTAAAAGTATTGATAGAAAATATTTTACCAGAGTATTATACACCAACAATGAAAGGATTACTAATAGATATAGATGTTCTAGTTGAACTTGTCAAGTAAATTTCAATAGGACAACTGATTTTTGTTTATGAAGTTTAACTAATCATCCTTTGATACATATTTTAATTATATTTTTTAGATTAAAAATGCCAGATGTATTCCAACATGTTGAAAATTTAGGATTGCCATGGCCTGTTATAACTACCAAGTGGTTTATATGTTTATTTGCAGAAGTGTTGCCTACAGAAGTATGGATCATTTAGTCTGTATATTTTTGAAACATTATTTTATCCTAAATTCATTTTCATCTTGAAATTCTAGACTACATTAAGAATATGGGACTGTCTGTTTTATGAGGGCAGCAAAATTGTGTTCAGAGTAGCATTAACTTTGATAAAAAGAAATAAGCAAAATCTGTTGGCTTGTCAAGATTTTACAGATTTAGCTGAATGCTTTAAGGAAATAACAAAAGATAGTATTGTTGTCAAATGCCATGAATTTATGGAAGTATGTAAAAAGTTCATTGATCAATATAATACAAATTTAATTGAAAATTATTTTATTTTCAGAGCATATTCAAAGTTCCTGGATCATTGTCCAATAGTACAATATTGAAGCTTAGACAGAAAGTAGAACAAACTCATAAAGAACAAAAACTTGCCAAAACGTCACGGTAATAAAATGTCAATAAATCTCCTGAATCCACAGACTCTAGTCAATATGCTGACAAAATCGTCGTTTTTATTCAATGTTTATTGAAAATATGTAGTTTTTTACAATTTTTCTGCATGTCCTGTTTTATGTGATACATAATGCATATATTACTGTGAAAAATATTGAAAAATTTCACAATACAATGATGTATAAAACTTTGTTTTTAATTGTTAAAATACTATTGTTATTGTATATATGTTAAATGTTTTGCAACTCAATGTTTGTAAGAAGTATGAACCTGCGGTTCATTTAATTTAGGTATTGTGTCATTTTAACTTGTTTACGATATATAAAATTTATATGGAATTTTAACTGCATTATATGCATCTTAAAAGTTAGGATTTGGAAGTACATTTGAAAAAAATTTTAAACAACACTCAACTATTTAAAATTTAATCATTGTATATTTACAGTTTACTATTTACACTTTATATTTTACACCCATTTTGTGTTAATAATATATAACAAAGATCTGATTAACAACGATAATAAACATTGTTTTCAATTGAAATAAAATTTTTGCTTTATTATAAATTATTTTTCAAGCATATCTTTTGCTTCGTTTATTTTGGCTGCCAGATATGGTGAACCACCTCTATCAGGATGATTAGCTGTGATAAGTTTTTTAAAATGTTCTTTAACTTTAGCCTTAGGAGCAGATGGTGAAACTCCAAGAATTAAAGATGCTTCTCTTCTGGTCATTTTCTGTTCAAAACCTCCTTTGTAATATTTACTGGCAGCCAAAGACTAAAATGAAACAAATTCTAAATGAAACATTTTTCACTCTAAAAAGACTTAACAACAGTTATTAATTACCTGTGGATCTAGCGATGGCATTTTTTTGACAGCTTCCGCCATTTTGCTAGTTATATTAGGCAGTTGTTTGACAACATATCTACCAGCAAATCCCACTGCAGCTAGGCCTAAGCCAGCAATAATCGCTGTTGTCTAAAATTGAATAATTAACCGTTAATAATGCAAATAATACCAAAATATTCTTGACTTAAAAATCTCGAAAAAATAATTGTGGAAAGCAAAAACATAAACAGATATTAAGTGAACTAGCTTGGTTAATTTTTAAGGTAAATTGTAAATTTATTCTCTGAAAAATTTACAATCTGAAACATTGAGTCAAGTACACAACATTGCATCACAAGCAGGTTATATTTCAGAAGATGATGCGATAAGGCGAGCACGATAAAATATATTCGCTGCTGCGAAGGTGCAAAAAGAGTTGATGGATTCAATGAGAAACTCGAGAGATATTTGTAACGTTCATTAGAGAATATTAATTACCATGTTGTTGCTTATTAAGTCGAATAGAAAAATAACTAGACAATGCGATTTGTATGCGATGCAGACGATATACGCACACCACTGGACACTAATACGCGAATCTATTTGAAAAACTGTCGTCGGCTGCCAAAGTTGGTTTGTTCGTGTACCGTCTAATTGACGATTTATATGACGTCAGAAAAAGTAAGCGAGAAACGACCTTGTTAAATTTACTTGGCGGTACAAATCAAAGTCGTCGTCGAAGTAGTTCATTAAAATAATCAAATAAATGATGTATTTTTTATAATAAATGTTATTCAATATCATAATGTTTGCGACGTGATCACGTGGCATGCTTGAATGTCATACGCTTAGTTATGTTAGAACAAATAACGCATTTTATTGAGGGTAACAAACCGCGTTAAACATTGTATAATTTTGTCAACTATACAATATTTAACAATATTTAACCCCATAGACAGATGAACCGAATAAGGGCAAAGATTGGTACATGTACAAACCTCGTGTCTAATCAAAAGTTGATACTATAACTATAATAAATGAAACATCACTCAATGATAGCAATAAAAAGTAAAAGAATTGTTTTAAACTTATTTATTCACATTTTATTCACATGGGTACACCATATGTACTTGGGTTATATAGATAAAATGCTTTGACCAGCTACGACCAGTAAATCATTATATTTTACAAATAAAAAAGTTTTAATTTAATTTCAATTAATTTTTTCAATTTTCATTTAGGGATCGAACAAGGTGCAGATGCAAATAGTTTCGTCCTCATGATTATTTACAATATATTTATTCACCATTACTTTGGTATTTATATAAGACAGGAAGTCAAGGATTTCTTACGCCAACAACGCATACAATGCGAACAAATCCCGACATACAAGATTAACTGGCATGAGATTCATCGTAGTTTTAAAGTGTTTAAACGTGATATTGCGAGAATAAAAGAGATTAAACTAACTGAAAGTGTCTGGCTCTATCAAATTTGTCAAATGAGTTATAAAAAGGGTTGCTCGATTTTGAAAGGCGTATATTACATACCTCAGATGGATAATTTACTTCATAATGCCTTCAATATGATTGTCAAAAGACACATAGGAAACGTTTTCATGAGGCGGGAGTTGGAAGTGTTTGTAGCCGATCTTTTTATGACTGATTATTACAAATTAAACTTGCCTGATGTTGTGTGCCGTAATGTTACCGAACATATGGATGACGAGGACCTACTCCGTTTGTGCGAACAAACAATCGAAGATTATCTACTGCCACCGTTTCCAATACGACGAAGTGAACGCCTGCGAGCCCGCAACGCCTAATTAATTAGACGTTAATTGTATAATATACGAATGGGAGGAGATTAATTGTAATGCAACAAACATAAATTCAATATGTTTATATGTACCTGTAAATTATTTATAAATGATATGCATGATGATGCATAATTTATCGTAATATTGTAATCAATGATACCGAGCATCAACTTTTGGTGAATTTTTTAAAATAAAATGAACAAATGAAAATTTCAAAGAACTTCTCGCAAAAATAACTCTTATCATGTGACCTCATGTTATATAAAGAAATATGAAAGTTGAAAATTTGAATCATATAAACTTAAACTATAGAGTTTTCATAATTCGTAATGATTTATTCATTAAAATCTTGTATACAATTGAACACTCAGAAAAAAATCGGTTTTAGCGACTCAAAATACATTAGAAAAACTTTGGTCGATCCCTTAAACAAAAAAAAAAAAAAAAGAATTCAACCTTGAACTCACTGGACTCAAGTGCAAACTTCTACACCTGCTGAGTAAACGAGTAATTACTTCGTTACACTAATCATGTTTATGGTAAAAACAAATTAATTTGAATGTTGTCTTTCTCGACGAAAAAAACCATAATACTAGAAAAGATAAACTTTATTTATTTAAATTTCCGTGGTACCAAATAAAAAAATCCATCGTTTAATTTAGGCACCAGAAATTCGAGAAAATCGTTTCAAATGAAAGTTTGCGTGGGAGTGGAATTTTTTAAATTTACCACTGTGCTCCATAGCTACGCATTAAATAATTAAAAATTATAAAACTTATCCACTCGCTCTATCCATCGGCCTCTGTCAATTAAAGTCGTGTTATTCCATGGGATTGATGTAAGTCAGTGCGCGACACGCGAATCGTTGCAGTAAGCAAGAAACTAAACCGCCCCGACGGCGGCACTCGTGCGAGTGCGTACGTGCGTGATGGAGTCGCGGGAGAGCTGCACGCGCGCGTCTGGATAAGCTCATATTAAATATTCGTCCATTCATGCACTCGCACATTCACACAGCCCATACGATTTTTCGCCTGGTGCTTGTAGTGAAATTTCGACGTAGAAAACACGCCAAGAAGAATGAGTTGCCTCGGTGGCGCGTGCCCAAGTGCGAAACATTCCAAGTGTGTGCAAACAACAGAGACAGAGTCTGTACGGGCGTGTGTAGCACAGATTTTGCATATTCCCCTTTTCTTCGTCGACTCTGTATCATATACTCACGTCCTGCTGCGGTATGCACGTGTACGAGCGTAGATCATAGACCGCGTTCGAACCTCCTATTTTTTTCTTTAGACTAAAAATTGGTGCGTGATTTCAGGGCTACAATATACGAGATTATTATGTTATTAGAGTCAAAATATCCTCTGCATCCTCGATGATAAGAGCGAGCCGAAACAATGGCTTTTTAAGTGTACGCGTGGAGTACGGACAGCCCATCGATACTCAATTATCAAAAACTCAAAGAATCAATTCACGAGCTTGCAACGCTTTCGTACAATACGCGGACAATCGTATAGAGCATGGAATATATATCGACGCGCACGTGTCTATTGCGTTCGCACGCGTATCCGCACGCTGCAATACATATATAAGGCACGCCGCGCTTTGTGCGTGCCGCGTGTGCACACCGCATCACGATTCACCGTTCGACGATTCGACATCGGAGTCGAGTACGACTAGTTATGTGTATTATATATAGGCACCGCGTGAATCATGTGTGTCGATTGCTGCTGGGGGTCGCTCGCGCGCACAATAGTAACAAGTATATAGGTGTATTACGCATTGTTATTTTGGTTGATCGACAACAAGCCCACGGACCATTTGATTTTTATAGAAAGAAACGCGTGTATTTGGCAAAACTTCTACTGTTTCATTCCTGTGTACCTTTTTACTTACGCAGCTTCGTTCTATAAAAAATTGATATTGTAGACACGAAGCGTTTCAATTGCTTGATCGTATTTTATCGGTGTGATACGGATGATAGTTTCAATTATCGTTTTACTCCGAGCTTTATTGGACTTTTATATTATTATCTGTGATACAATTATTGCGAAATTGTATCTTTGTTTGAGACGTTGAAAAATAGCAAATTAACTTGACTCCTTCACTCGCGTAAACTTTTTTTCCAATCAATCAATTATTTAGCCAAATGAAAATTAAGCCTTCAACTGTTTGAATTCAACAAAATATTTATTTGGCTCGAACGAACCTTTTATTGATATCTACTAAATTAATATATCTGCAAAATCAATCAATGCTTATTACTATACTTGGCCTATTGCACTCGGTTGCAGCCCATATAGTCCGCAGGATAAATGTTTTTTTTTTTTTTTTCATATTTGTATATGGACGATCAATTAATTCATCAATCGTGATGGTACAATGATTAATTTTAATACTGTATGCATAATATATAACAATGATTTTTGGTTGCAATAATTACATATGTACAGAGGTGTCAATTATTATCTCTTTGGTTTTGTCCTCGTTATTGTGCGCTACAATTATATCAGTAATTGGTAAAGTGTCACGGCTGCATGACGATCGGCTCCGCGCCCGGGCCGTCCGTGGCGAAGGGTTAGAGCGGGCAGCCATGCACGTAAGTGACGTTGCGAAAGAGAGCCGCAGCCGTCGAGAGGAAGGCGGCCGTCGAGGCGCTTGTCGGCGCCGGCACCTGGACACCGCCGGAGGTCACCGTGGCGACGCTCGACGAGGCAGCCGACGACGCCGACGACGAGCCCGCGACCGACGTGACGGACTGCTGCTGTCCGGCAGCCGCCGCGGCCGCCACCGCCGCCTGACTCGCCGCCGAGTAGGGATTGTTGCCGGCGGCGCAGTAGGCCTCGATGCTCGCCGGATGCGGATGCGGATGCAGCTGATGCGGATGATGATGCAGGCCCACGCCCCGCACCAACAGCTCCTTCTCGACGCTCGCCTGGTGTCGCAGTTGCTCCAGTCGCAGTTGATTCTGACGCTTCCACTTGGTTCTATGATTTTACGACGGAAATTACACTCCCGGCTCGAGTATATATGGAATTAAAAAGTGCGCCTTCGATCGTGCATACCTTCGATTCTGATACCAGGTCTTCACTTGGGTCTCGGAGAGCGACAGGGCGTCGGCGACGTCGCTGCGATCGGCCACGCTCAGGTACTTCTGGCATCGGAACTTGCGCTCGAGGTAGGCCAGCTGCGCGTGGGTGAAGGCCGTGCGACGTCTGCGGGGCTTGCGACCGGCCCCGCCGTTGTTGCTGCTGCCGCCCCCGCTGCTGCCCGCCAAGCCGAGGGAGGACGAGTTGCAGCTGCCGCCGCCGGCCTTGGCGTTGTTGTCGGGTGTGGCGGCCGACGAGCCCGGCGACGGACTGCTGCCCGGGTCTATCGTGTCCTCCGAGTCGGAGTGCATCGCCGAGTCCTCCTCGGAGTCGTCCGTCGGCCCTGTCGATCGTAACGCGTTTTACACATTTACATTACCAATTGGCTTTATATACATATAAATCTTTTGTCATGTTGATGCGAAAATCGATCGAGCTCGAGGGTCTGTCAATTTCTCTCTGAGTAAATGAGCTTATATGCCTGCGTAATATAGAGTGCGATTTATATGAAGCAAAGGATATACGGGGGAAAAAGACTGGCAGTGCAGTGACTCTTTGGGCCGCGCGCCCAGTAGGAGGTCGAATTCGCATCACGCCGTGCGCCATCGTCGATCGAGCATTTAACGAGCTGCACACTAATACGTCTACGAGCTCAGACACGGAACAAAATTCAAGCGATACATACCATCTGCGGTCTCGTTACAACAACTTGTGCAGTGCGCGCGTACGTACGTAAAGTAACAGAAAGAGAAAAATCACGCGTGGCTTTGTTGGGCGTCGAGTCTCGCCTCGGGGGCTGTGCTGCTGCAGCATATCCGCACGCGTTCCCGCGCTAACGAACGTATTAACAGATCGACGGAACCGAGGCACGTATATATATATGAGTAACTGCCACTGCGACGATCGCCAGCAGCAGGACGAATCAATTCTCCTGTATAAATTTGTGTGTGCAGCGACTAAGACTTGTGGGAGCGCATTAGTACTGATTGGGCGAACTACATGAAATAACAGGTGTATATTGTGCCATGCCGTTCGCAATTCATAGGAGGGTGACGTCTAGAGCAGCAAAGAAAAGCACGTTTAGCGACAAGCGGATTAGCTTTGGTGTTGCTAACCCGTAGATACTGTACAACGTAGTGATCGTGATTTGCGACTAAAACTACCCACATGTACACGCACGCGAGCACGTGACCGTTTGGGCTTTTTAATTTGATTTTATCGGGCGCGTCGATCGTGGTGCCGTCTGTACATATCTACCTCGAAAAAAGGGGGATGGCAAGTGCGCGCGATAAGCTTTGATTGCGTAACGAAAATATTATACATAATACGTCACTCGAGTTTTTGATTCTTGGTTCTTTGAGCGTAAAAAAATGTCGATGATTGTTGATGCTTTTTTTATATCGGTATTATCGGTATTATATAACGAAGAAAATATGAAATATTGATATGAATCGTGAGCATTAGTACCATCAAACTTAATTGGAACTAATGGCCTGACGAGAACGTTGAAAATATAACATTAACAGAAAAAATCGATTTCGATCAACCCTTTTTTTTGTACAGAAAAATAAATTGAATTATATTCGATCCGATTTAAAGGGAAATAATATTCAAGAATAAGCCATCGAAATGAGATTACCTTGAAGCGGCCGATGATCGAGCACATCGCCGAGCAGGTCACGAATGAGAAAGGACTTGTGCTCCTGCATCATCGCGACCTGTCCCAGCAGCCGAGCCCAGATATTGATACTCCAGAGATCCAGTTTTTCTCGCTTTTCTAATTCGCTCGATTTGGTCCTCTCGAATTGTGATTGCTCAAAGACAGTATTTTACGACGATCCGTGGCACACTGTTTTACTTCCGATTAAATGTACAACTCGTATTGTCCAAGAGGGCACTCGATAAACGCGCGACGATATCACACTGCTCCTCGATCGACCGCGAGGACACTCGACGTCCTTGACGTAAACATGTCTCTATTTCGATTATCTCCTATAACTGTCTTCAAAAGTAAGCGCGAGTATTTTTAGTTTATTCTTTTTATTCTAACATATAGGCCCCGTTGAGCCCGCGCGAAGGATCGAGACGTTCTGACGCGCAGCGGTAAATTAAATTCGCCAGTTTACGCGTGTAAAAGCTGCATATTACTGAGCTGTCGACGATCACGAGAGCGACTGCTGCTGCTGCTTTCGTCGTGAGATGTGCGCGTATAATACAGCAAGTCGCGATTGCACATATACACGACGACTCAGCCATTTTGGGGCCGAGCCGAGCCGCGCGACCATTGGCGCACCATCTACCCGCAAAACTCCGCCCTCCGTTCGCGTCGGCTGCTTCGTGCCTGTACTCGGTAGCGGCAAGGCGCGCACTTATATACGTATTTATTCGATATGTACCTACACAGCCGAGCTTTAAAGCCGTAATCGCGTGCACTTTTCTCTCTCTCTCTCTCTCTCTACCTCTGCTTGCCTCACGACCCTTAGCTTACGCTCGAGCCGTGTGCAATTCCTGCGCTGGATTTATACACATATAATGCTGCACTCACACCAATAGAGCTCCATTATAAACGTGTGTGTGTAATACCGCAGCAGAGCTCCGCAGCCAGCGCTCCCGCGAGTTGCGAACAAATTGAATGTGTAATGATCGAAACTTGAAGAGTTTACCTCGCAAATTTTTTTCCCTTTTTTTCCTTTTTTTCTTCATCTCCTTCTTCTTCGTCGTTTTCTCTTTTTCCTCGCCTGCGAGAGCCGTGCGTCTTCTCTTTCTCTCGGCTGCCCGCATGGACGTGGCCCACGTTGTTGCAGCTTACGGGATGTATATTCGTTATTTAGTAATTTAGTCAATGAGAAATAATTTATTTACAAAATTTGATTTATCATAATTTTGTAAGAATAAAAGTATTTTAAACGAACTAGAAAAAATTAATTAGGAGAGACCGGTGTATTGGCACATTTTTTTTAAAAACTGTTATTTTTTATTCGATATTAAGATTTTATCGATGAATTTTTTTCACAGATAAATAAAACTATATAGAGCAAACTGTACGTATATGCTTTTATCCCAATCAAAAAATATTTTTTCACTGTTTAGGCATTTTTATGTATGCATAAGTTAGCACAATAAAAATAGAGTTTTATTAGAAGTCCATCTTACTCAGGTTTATAGTTTTTATGTAACATTTAATGTATTTTAACGTCATGACCAATAAATTCAAACAATTTTACGGTAACGAAATGAAAGTTTGATGAAATTAACCCACTGAAAAAAATGGAAATTTATATACTGTTTTGTGATTCATATTCCGAGTTGGATAAAAAATTTCCTGAAATTTCAAGTTCGATCAAACAATCAACATGGAATATTTATTTATTTATTTACCTTCCTTTTTTTTACAAAGGCCTGCAGGGGGCAAACGCCCGTGCGCAGGACGGCACTTACAACTAATAATCAATCAATATAAGAAAATCTACAAAAAATACTGATAACTTAAGTGAATCACAATTTTTACCAACCCAGCACAGAAAATGTATATTTTCGTAACTTTTTTTCCAGGCTGATTTTCGAAAAACGGCTCTGTGGAGCCTTGCGTATTGATGCTGCTAACAACTGTACCAAATTTCAGCCAATTTCATGGGGTAGTTTTCCCGGAAAACAGGATCAAAATCTTTTATCCTGCAAACAGTAGTCAAAAATTTCGAGCCTGTTTTCTGGGAAAACTATCCGATGAAATTGGCTGAAATTTGGTGCAGTTGTTGACAGCAACAATACGGAGGGCTCTACAGAGCCGTTTTTCGAAAATCAGCCTAGAAAACAAGTTACGAAAATATACAATTTCTGTGCTCAGTCGGTAAAAATTGTGGCCAAGGCATCACCTTAAAGCGATTCAGTATTGATGTTCTTCCAAAAATTTATTCAGTTTTACAAAAATTGAAATTATTTTTACATAATGAGATAACATTGAAGAAATTTATGATATTATTGATGTGTTATGAATAGAAATGTTTAAATTAGATATTCGAATGTGTATTTTGAATTTTATATATTCATAAAGTTATAATGTGTGAATGCTGTGGAAAATCAATGTGGGCTTTAAGATTACTTTTCGTCGTGAATTTTTTTCCGCAAACATCACATGCATGCGTAATACCGATATGTGCAGAATCAATGTGATTTTTGAGACTTACCTTGTGTTGAAACGTCTTTTCACATATATTACATGAGTAAGTTATACCATTGTGCATCGAATCGGTGTGATTTTGAGATTACGATTAATCAAGTATTTTTTCCAGCATATATTACACGTATGTATGATATCATTGTGCACTGTATCGATATGGACTTTGAGTTCGTTCTTTCTTGTGAATGTTTTCCCGCAAATGTCACATGCATGCTTGACACCATTGTGCATTGTTTCAATCTGAACTTGGAGACAATTTTTGTGAGCGAATGTCTTCGCACATATGACACCTTTGTGCACTGAATCGGTGTGGGTTTTGAGACAACATTTTTGAGTAAAAGACTTTTCACAAATATTACATATATTTTTTTTACCATTGTGGATTGTATCTATATGGATGTGAAGACTGCTCCTGTATGAAAATGTTTTTAAAAATATGTTTTAAATTTTTTTCGTTGAACGCGCTTATAGTGAAGGTTGATAATTGTTCATCGAGGTCCCACAATCATTGGTACTTCGCTTATCGCTACTTTTGTGTTCCAGAGGATGA